TATAAAGTTATAAAGTTATAAAGTTATAAAGTTATAAAGTTATAAAGTTATAAAGTTATAAAGTTATAAAGTTATAAAGTTATAAAGTTATAAAGTTATAAAGTTATAAAGTTATAAAGTTATAAAGTTATAAAGTTATAAAGTTATAAAGTTATAAAGTTATAAAGTTATAAAGTTATAAAGTTATAAAGTTATAAAGTTATAAAGTTATAAAGTTATAAAGTTATAAAGTTATAAAGTTATAAAGTTATAAAGTTATAAAGTTATAAAGTTATAAAGTTATAAAGTTATAAAGTTATAAAGTTATAAAGTTATAAAGTTATAAAGTTATAAAGTTATAAAGTTATAAAGTTATAAAGTTATAAAGTTATAAAGTTATAAAGTTATAAAGTTATAAAGTTATAAAGTTATAAAGTTATAAAGTTATAAAGTTATAAAGTTAACAGTTATAAAGTTACTAAAGTATAACGCTAACACCTAACACCCTAACACCCTAACACCCTAACACCCTAACACCCTAACACCCTAACACCCTAACACCCTAACACCCTAACACCCTAACACCCTAACACCCTAACACCCTAACACCCTAACACCCTAACACCCTAACACCCTAACACCCTAACACCCTAACACCCTAACACCCTAACACCCTAACACCCTAACACCCTAACACCCTAACACCCTAACACCCTAACACCCTAACACCCTAACACCCTAACACCCTAACACCCTAACACCCTAACACCCTAACACCCTAACACCCTAACACCCTAACACCCTAACACCCTAACACCCTAACACCCTAACACCCTAACACCCTAACACCCTAACACCCTAACACCCTAACACCCTAACACCCTAACACCCTAACACCCTAACACCCTAACACCCTAACACCCTAACACCCTAACACCCTAACACCCTAACACCCTAACACCCTAACACCCTAACACCCTAACACCCTAACACCCTAACACCCTAACACCCTAACACCCTAACACCCTAACACCCTAACACCCTAACACCCTAACACCCTAACACCCTAACACCCTAACACCCTAACACCCTAACACCCTAACACCCTAACACCCTAACACCCTAACACCCTAACACCCTAACACCCTAACACCCTAACACCCTAACACCCTAACACCCTAACACCCTAACACCCTAACACCCTAACACCCTAACACCCTAACACCCTAACACCCTAACACCCTAACACCCTAACACCCTAATTCATTAATTATGGATTAATGATCTTAAAACTTATTCTAAGCCGGATGAAATCTGATTTTATCTCTGCATTTATTATGATAACTATAATTAAATTTAATCTTAAATTAAAAGGAATTTGATTCTCTAGATATTTTCAGCTTATCTGCAAAAATTAATCCTATAAATATTTAAAATCTAACACTTTCAATTAATACGAATAACAGAGATTGCTTATATTTTATAAATAGTTTTGCATTATATAAAGTTCAAATCTAAATAAAATTTAATGATAAAATTGTAAGTGCTGAATCCTATAAATGTCTGGGTCATTTTTATCAGATTTTTTATAGGAAGCATAAGTCCTAGTATTGAAAAACTACTGTAGCACCACTAGAAAGAGTTAAGCTATTATTCCAAGTACAGCATGCAAGCACTCAAATGGATCCAAATAAACTTTATAAAGGAATTACAGATTGTTTTAAAAGGCTTTACCATGAGCAAGAATTTTTATCATTTTGAGTGGAAATCTTGCAAATGTTCTGAGGTATTTCCCTTAATTTTGCAATTAAAGACTTTTTAATAAACACTTTAAAAAATATGGCAAAAAAGAAAAATTTTGGAAGTTTATCATCGCTAATATACAGTCTGGAGGGTTTGCTGGGACTGCTTCATTATTTATAGGATATCCATTAGACATATTTTGGGTGATATGACACTTAAAAAGATTCTATCTCAAATAGGCGTTTTGATTTTTTAATTAAATTTGCATTGGTTCATATTCGCTGGATTTTTGTATACCTATTAGATATTGTGAGAAGAAGATTAATGATGCAAGGTTGAAGGAAAGATGTCATTTATGAAAGTACATTGGATTGCGTTAAAAAAATCTATACTAATGAAGGTGGGAGTAAAGCATTTTTAAAGAAGCTTTAGCAAACTTAATAAGCTACTCTGGAGGAGCATTAATTTTGGTATTCTATGATTCAATTAATCAAACACTGTTTGGAGTTAAAAACATAATAAACATTAAGGACTATTATATTTATTTATAAGATTTTATCACTTTTAATCAGCAAAAATTAAGAATGCATATATATAAGCGATCTCACTTGCAATTTTGAGACCATTAAGAGTTTAAGATCGGATAAAAACTAATTTTATATTTATATAACTTTTATGCCAAAATTTGCTCACTTATAGAGGGGAGTAGAGTAAATAGTTTTACTTAAAAGAAATTCACTTTGATTCATAAAAAACAGAAATAAATATCTCCTTTCTATCTTGAAGCAATATATAGCAATATTATATTTTGAATCAAAATAGCTAATGAATAAATTTTAGAATTATTTTATATAAAATAATTTTAATTTTTGTCGAAGAAAATAAGCTTAATAAAAAATTGACCAAAATGGATAAAATATTGAATTTTCTGGCATCAGATATTAAAGTTTTTTTTAGCCATTCAAGATTTATATTCTTCATTTGAAATATATATTGCTCAAATGATAGGAATCAACTCAATCAGGTTTGGGTTAAAGAAACAAAACCTCATTTTGGTTTAGTAATACTTCTTAGCAATATCCCATTTCTTCTTGAAAGGTCTCCTGAATTTTTGAGGAGCTGAATTTGCAAAAATGTAATACAATGTTGCTCCTAATAATTCTACTTAAAACTCTTTTAAAGCTTTTCGATGACTCTATGTTATATAGTCAAAATCTCTGAATACTCTAGAAATTTCTGTTTGATATATGCATGGTCTCCATCGGTACTTGAAAATCCATGAGTTCAATTAAAGTAAGCTAAAATTGCAAATATGCATCTGTTTAAGCTAAGTTTGAGGGAATGCCCATTCCTTGTAAATAGATCTTGATTTTTCTGAGGAACCAAATGAGTTTTATCGTTTATTTGCATATTTAGTAAAAGTGTCAGTCGTGTATCAAAGCTGTCTGATTAATCAAAACGATTATACCATTTGAATATTAATTACATAATACGCTCTGAAATTAGCGAATAGTTATATTGGTACCATTCGATGGCTGATTCAAACTGGTTTGTGCTTCTTCAATCAAATTTGATTGAGTTGATTTCTATGATTTTGAGCAAATTGAGGATTGCTAAAAGCGATAGCATCTTTATAAGTTAGTTTTCTTAGAGCAAATAAAGATTTAAAATTAATTAACTTCCTTTGCAATTGAAAAGTCCTTAGACATTAAATCTACAGATGTGCGACGATCTGGGACAATTTTTGCAAGTGCATTCTTGGAGTGCTTACCAAAAGTAAATGCGAACTTGAATAAATGAGTTGTATCTAAGTTTTTTCTATACAAAAGACTGGGATACTTTCTTCTTTGCACATAAATTCCGACAAGAGCAATTATGATTCATCCTATGCACACTACTGGAAAATAAATATACGCGTTTCCTTTAGTGTTTGATGAGATTGTCGACATCACAGAAAGCCAGACCACACCAATTAAACTCAAAGCTTGTCACCAGCACAGTCTTGGGTAATTATAGGGCTTATATCTAAATATAAATCCAATGTACGCAACCATTAGAACAGCAAAAATGGCTCCATGGATAGTGCTATCTGCCCTTTTAACTGTTTTATTCATAACTATAAATATAACTTGAATGGCAGTTTTTACCATTAAAAACGGAGGAGATGTATGTATATGTACCATGTGCTGCAATTCTTGCCACAAAGGTCTGCACAGAACAGCCAATGGCTCATAGCATAAGAGCGCAATAAAAGAAAGAATTGCATATATTAGGTGCTCATCTTTCCAGCAAAAATAATAACAGTCGGCAGCAAGAAAACTCTCAGTAAAGCTATAGAAATTGCCCAAGGATGGCGCTATTTGCGCCATTCTCGGGCAACCGAAAATCGGCTCCATAAGGGAAAGATTTTCCCCATGTGGAGCCATTTTTTCACACGTGAATATCCTGACTTCCACGTGTGAAAAATGGCTCCAAACGTGGAAAAATCGTTCCCGTGTGGAGCCGATTTTCCCGTATTCTCGGGCACCTAGTATATCTCCAATAGAATGATCGCATATAAACACATTTAAGCAAATTGAAACAAAAGGTATAAAGCACAAATTTCCTAAAATAGGCATTAAATAGTCTGCAAGTCGAGCTAAAATCCTGAAAGCCGTCACTTTAGGATATTTTTCATCTAAGCTGAGCAGAATAACTAAACATAAAATTAGCCAAAGTATAATGGCTCCATAAACTCCATCTATGACGATTCAAAATATTCCTTTCTGTAGAGCAAACATATTTTCTAGATTGAAAGAAAGAGAATTACTGATTTTTGCTAAGAAAATAAAGACATAAAGGCTTAAAAAGAAATTATAGCCACATAAAAGAAGAGCGTATTTTCGCATTTTGAGAAAAATTAGATTAATTCTTCAAAATTTACCAAATATTAGGCTTTTTAAAACAAATAAATATTTATAATCTCTCTAATAAACTTTAATTAACGGCGCATAATTTCTCATTTGAATCTTTTTTATTCATTTATATAGTTTTTCAACATAAAATTTAGTTTTTGTACTGCTTTTAATCCAAAAAATACATGTTCGCGAATGGAAGGCGTAGTAAGAAGCTATTTATTGGGGCTATATCTGGCCCCATAGCTGCAAATTGGAAAAATTCAATTCCTATGGTTGTCTCAACAATAATATCTTGTAGTGAAATTTCTTGCTTTTCTTTAAGCTCTTTAATAGTTATATTTCATCAATTTTTTCATATGAATGCTGTTGCTATGAAAGACACTAAAGCAAACATAAAGCATATAGAAAAAATGAGAATTCTTCCTTTAGCAAATGTCCTTACCAACTTATCAGGAAAAGGGCATTTATTATTTTGGTTTCTAAGGTCATCTGGCTTTACAGTACTTCCATCTCCATAAATAAAAGGTGCATTAATAGCCAGCAATGTACTGCCAAATGGGCGAAATTCACCCATTTTGTACGAGATCATACTTCCGGAGTTTTTGTCTATTTTGCCGACCATGATGTCAAAAGCATCCATAACTCTATCATTGCTGTTTTTATTAATAGAAACTATTCCTGTACACCCAGCAAACTTTTGAACTCTGATTGCCGAATTTATTTGGTAAGGATCATTATAATCATATCCTTGGTTTATAGTGTATTCCAAAGCAATCCCGATTAAATATGCTGCATCGTAGCCAGAGCAAGTGTTGGCGAATGGTACACCATTATATCGAGATACTATCTCTGTGTAAGCAAATTCCCCCACTTTGCCGACTCAATTTCGCCCACTAACAGCCATCATTGGAACCGCAGTTTCCTTAACCTTATATTCATACAAAAAATCGTATTGAATTAGTGTAATCATTTCTTGGCTTTGAACTAAAATAACGAGATCTCCTTTCCTTAAACCCATATCATAAAGTTCTTCAATTGCATAATATAATACAGGTGGTAATAATAATAAAACTAGAAGCCTTGCTTGTGTATCAATAATTGTTTGCAATAAATCAGAGTAATTTTTTATGTTAGTTCTATTTAGATCTGCAGGAACCACTCTTGAATTTTCAGAATTTAGAATTTCTATGTTATATTGCTCTGCATTGCCAATAAGCGCTGAATATGCTGACTTTCCAGACACATCATCAGAATATAAAAAACAGATTTTCCTTCAGCCTAAAGCTTTAAGTAATAGCGAAGTCAGAGAGTAAATATAGCGGTTTGACATAACTACTCTAGTAAACAGAGGAAACAGTGATGTAGAATTTAATGAATAGTCATCAGCTGAAGATCCAACGACTGGGATAGTTAAATTTAAGCTTTTGAAGAGATCTATTTCTCCAATTGTCATTAAGGAGGTAGGCGCAGTATATGTGCTAATCCAAATTTATCTATATCTTTAAAGCAGGCTGTTGCAAATTCTTCATCATAAGTAATAACACCACAATCAAAAATAAAATACTTTATTTGGAAATGTCTTAAAATTCCAAGTTTGCCTTCGTTAATTAAACTTCATGCTGTATAAGCGCCATAATATACAAGAGGCGCAACGGTTATAGGAGGAGTTCCAGGGTTGGTAGAGCCTGCAGAGACTGTCATGTGCAAAATTTTTTTATCTGATCTTGGCACATCAGTAGCATTTCCAGGGTAAATAAAATCTTTGAAGATAGTTACTGATCCAGTAGTAACTGATCCAACTACTTGTCTTTGATTGCCCTGAATATTTATAATAGAGAATTGAGTTTTCTCGTTATATATCTTTAACAAATGCTTTAGCTCTTCTGCTGTTTCTGCTGTGTGATTTAGTAAATATTGTATTAAATTTTCAAAAGAGCTAATTAAAAATTGTTCTTGGGAAATCGCATATTCTTGTCCTGCAGCAGTCACAATAATCCCTCCATTAATTTTGCTTTTATAACCGCTATTTTGACTTAGTAATATCCCATCTCCTCTTGATAGGAGCTTTTTGGATTTTAGCGTTTCCTGAATTTTTAGTGAGAGAACAGAATTTGCAAAAATGTAACACAAAGCTGCACCTAAAGGCTTGATAATTCTGTTTACCAAATTTTCAAGAGTTGCCGATGATTCTATAGTTATAAAGTCAAAAGTCTCTGAATACTCTAGAAATTTCTGCTTGATGTATGCATTATCTTCATCAGTGATTACTAGTCCACGAGTTCAATTAAAGTAAGCTAAAATTGAAAAATATGCATTTTCTTGAGCTAGGTTTTATGGAATGATGTCATATGTTCATTCGTCATAGTAAGTGGAGTCGTATTTTTTTTGAGGAACGAAATGAATTTTGTTATTTTCTTTGCAAAGCTGAGAAAGAATCAATTGCTCTTCAAGGCTGTCGCCCACCTAAGGATCACCTAAAAAAAATGACAATCAATTTTTTAAAAAATTAATTAATTAATACTCGAATTTGATAAATTTTGTGGGAGAACTATACTTTTTTGCCTTATAAATGAGTTTATGTTGCTATATCAAAATAATAAAACAGAATTTTCGTTTTTGCTTAGTTAAAAAAAATGAACAAAAAGGCTAAAATATCGAAGTATTTTTCTGATATCGGATTTATAAAGATATTATCTTTTTTAGCAATGCTCAATTTGTGTTCTTCGTTTGAAATTATTATTGCTCAAAATGATATGAACAGGTTCAATCAAATTTGATTTGAAGAAACAAAATATCAATTTGAGTCAGTTGTCGAGTGGTATCAATGCGATTATTCTTTAATTTCAGACTGAGTTAATTCACATCCAAATGCCATTATCGTTCTTGATTTATCAGAAAGTTTTGAAACACAATTGAGCCTTTCTCAATTATGCAAAGAAAATAATAAAATTCATTTGGTTCCTCAGAAAAATCAAGAATCTCTTTACGACGAATGGACATATAGTATCTCTCCATCAAACTCAGCCCAAACCGATGCATATTTTGCGGCTTTAGCTTACTTTAATTGAACTCATGGACTTGTAATCACTGATAAAGATCATGCATACATCAAGCAGAAATTTCTAGAGTATTCACAAACTTTTGATTATATAACTATAGAATCGTCAGCATGCCTTGAAAAGGCAGTAAAAAGAGCTATCAAGCCTTTAGGAGCAACTTTGTATTACATTTTTGCAAATTCTGTTCTCTCATCAAAAATTCAGGAGACATTGAAATCCAAAAAACTCCTTTTAAAAGGAGATGGGATATTGCTAACCCAAAATAGCTGCTATGACTGTAAAAACAATGGAGCAATTATTGTGACTGCTGTAAGGCAAGAATATGCTAGCTCTCAAGAAAATCTTTTAATTAGTTTTCTAGAAAATTTAATTCTGTATTTATTGAATCAAACAGCAGAAACAACTGAAGAAATAAAACTTTTGCTGAAGATATATAGTGAGAAAAAACAATTTTCTATTGTAAATATTCAAGACAATCAAAGGCAAATAGTTGGATCAGTCTCTGCTGGATCAGTAACAATCTCGAAAACCTTGATTTTCCCTGGAAATACTACTGACGTGCCCAAATCAAATAAAAAGATTTTGCACACGACAGTTTCTGGAGGCTCTTATAACCCTGGAGCTCCTCCTCTATATGTCGCTCCTCTTTTATATTATTGCGCTTACACAGCATGAAGTTTAATTAATGAAGGTGCACTTGGAATTTTAGCACATTTTCAAATAAACTATTTTATTTTTGATTGCGGTTCTGTTACTTATGATAAAGAATTGACACCAGCTTGCTTTGCCAAAGATATAGATAAATTTGGGCTTGCACACATATCACCGCCTAGCTCTTTAACGACTATTGCAGAAATTAATTTTTTTAAAAACTTTAATTTAACCATCCCAGTTGTTGGGTCAGATTCTAATGATTATTCATTGAATTCTACGTCACTTTATCCTCTGTTTACAAGAGTAATTGTATCAAACCGCTATCTTTTATCGCTGAGTTTGCTTTTATTTAGAGCTTTAGGATGAAGGAAAATCTGTGTTTTATATTCAGATGATGTATCTTCGAAATCAGAATATTTAGCACTTATAAGCAATGCAGAGCAATATGAAATAGAAATTTTAAATTCTGAAAACTTAAGGGCGATACCTGAAGATCTAAATAGAACTAGTATAAAAAAATACTCTGGAACATTGAAGAAAGCCATGGATACAAATGCAAGACTTCTAGTTTTATTTTTTATGCCACCTCCATTATATTATGTCATCGAAGAGCTCTATGATTTGGGCTTAAGAAAAGGAGATCTCCTTATTTTTGTTGCAAAGGAAGCAATATTTCCAACGAGAATATACGATGATAATGCTGATGAATTAAAGATTAAGGAAACTGGAGTTCCAATGATATCTATTAGTGGGCGAAATTGAGTAGGTAAGGTTGGGGAATTTGCTTACTCGCAGATATTATCTAGATATAATGGTTTTCCACTTCCCAGTACTTGCTCTAGTTATGATGCAGCATATTTAATAGGGATAGCTTTGGACTACATGATAAACCAAGGATTTGATTATTCTGATCCTTACCAATTAAATTTAACAATCAGAGCTCAAAAGTTTACCGGGTGCACAGGAATAGTTTCTATTGACAAAAGCAGCAACGATAGAGTTATGGATGCTTTTGATATAATGACCTGCAAAATAGATACAAATTCTGGAAATGTGACAACATACAAAGTGGGAGAATTTCGCCCATTCGGCAGCACAATGTTGAGTATTAGCACACCTCTCATTTATGGAGATGGAACTACAGTAAAGCCAGATGACCTAAGAAACCAAAATAATAAATGCCCTTTCCCTGATAAGTTGGTAAGAGCATTTGCTAAAGGAAGAATTATCGTTTTTTCTATCTGCTTTATGTTTGCTTTAGTATCTTTAGCTGTCACAGCATATATAGCGCTTTCCCGAGGATGGCGCCATCCTCGGGAAAGTCAACTAAGCATCCACACGGGAACTGGGAGTTCCAGGCGTGGATGCCATTTTTGACATGTGGGATCCAAACTTCCACATGTCAAAATGGCATCCACACGTGGAACTCCCAGTTCCCGTGTGGATGCCTTCCTGGCTTTCCCGAGGATGGCGCCATTCCGCGCCATCCTCGGGAAAAGCGCTATATATGAAAAAAATGATGAAATATAGCCATTGAAGAGCTTAAAGAAAAGCAAGAAATGTCGCTGCAAGATATTATTGTTGAGATAACCATAGGCATTGAATTTTTCCAGTTTGCGGCCATGGGACCAGATATAACCCCAATAAATAGCATCCTAGCAAAAATTAGTAGCTCTCTTTCTTTCAGCTTGGAAAATATCTTTGCTCTCCAGAAAGGGATATTTTGAATTCTAATAGATGGAGTCTTTGGGGCTATTTTATTTTGGCTAGTTTTATGCTTAGTTGTTCTACTCAGATTAGATGAAAAATACCCCAGTGTGACAGCTTTCAGATTTTTAGCTTGGCTTGCAGACTATTTAATGCCTATTTTAGGCGACTTGTGCTTTATGAACCACTGGCTACTCTGTGCAGACCTTTGTGGCAAGAATTGCAGCACATGGTACATATACATACAGCTCCTCCATTTTTAATGATAAAAACTGTGGTTCAAGTCATATTTATCGTCATGAATAAAACAGTTAAAAGGGCTGATAGCACTATCCATGGAACCTTTTTTTCTCTTCTAATGGTGGCGTACATTGGATTTATATTTAGATATAAGCCCTATAATTATCCAAGACTGTGCTGGTGGCAAGCTTTGAGCTTAATTGGTGTGGTCTGGCTTTCTGTGATCTCGACAATCTCATCAAACACTAAAGGAAACGCGTATATTTATTTTTCAGTAGTGTGTGTAGGATGAATAATAATTGCTCTTGTCGGAATTTATGTGCAAAGAAGAAAGTATCCCAGCCTTCTGTATCGGAAAAAAGGCTTAGATACAACTCATTTATTCAAGTTCGCATTTACTTTTGGTAAGCACTCCAAGAATGCTCTTGCAAAAATCGTCCCGGATCGTCGTCCATCATCTGTAGATTTAATGCCGAAGGATTTTTCAATTGCAAAGGAAGTTGATTAATTTAAGACTTTAGAAATTTAATATATTAGAGTATTAAATTGAAAAGTTATATCTATTTCAATAATAGTGTTTATTGCTTTGGAGGATATAATCGTATTTATTTAACTCTATCAGAGAGATTTGATTTAAATGAAAACCGATAAATTAAATTACCATTGCAATAGTGCAATATTTAACAGGGATATTGTGATTTCTGAAAGTAAAAATAAAAATCTTTTGAGATATTCAATTGGTAGCAACACTTTCGGAGCAATTCCTTATGATTTTAAGCTAAAAAATGCAAAATTCTTATAAGTGCAACGAGACTGTATTTAATTGAATGTGATTATAATGGATCAATCTATGAAAGCGAATTGTCAAATGACACTAAAATATTATAGATATAATAAAATGGAACTTAAGCCATGCTGAGCAGCAAAATGCTTACGACAGGTTGCTTTTGTATGCAAGTGTACAAATCCTGAAACTTACACATGCGAGCATCACTTAAAACAGCACACCAAAGACCCTGGTAAAATTCATCAATTAAACCCTCTTCTCTTTGATCCAATATATGGAACCAAAGAAGCAATATGCAACTATATCTCACAAGAAATCAAGAAAAAGGAAGAGCTAAAGAAAGATCTCTTAAATTCTTTTAGCAATCATTTTTGTGATCTAGAACAAAGAATGAAAGAGTTTCTTAAGAAAGTAGACGTAGAGATAGAAGAATTGCAAAAATATATTGACAAAGTTAATCATGTTGAAGCAGTATACCTTCAGAACAGGTATGGCTCGACCTGAAACTCCCCCTCCCCTCCCCCACCCCCTGACGGTTTCAGTTTGAACGAAATTGTTAATTCAAAATGCCAAGTCCCTCACTAAGGATTTGACAAGTCAAATTCAATTTGTAGATTTCAATAAAGCCGAAACCACCAAGGGATAGGGGGGAGGGGAGGTTCTCAGGTCGATCTAAAACCGTGCTCACGGTATATCCAAATTGGAGAAAGACCCATTGATAAAATCACTTTCTTTAAATCGTGAAAATGCGGTTTTAAGGGTAAAAAAATTTATTCCAGAGAGCACAGTTCCACCGAATTATGCTAAAGAAATTTTTGGAAAAAGCAAGTTTGTCAAGAAAATGATAAGCTGCTTTATTGAGGATAACTTGCTGAACAAGATTTTACAAATAGACAGCTTTCTTGAAAACTGCAAAGCAAGTGCCAATGAAAATGCAAATGAGCTAGTGAAATTGCAGAGTTATATTCAGGAACTTATAGGAGATACTGACCCCCCCCTCCGTGAGTAAACAAAATCATTAGAAAAATCGCTATTTTTTGCCCGAAAACCCACCCTCCGTGAGTGAACAAAAATTTTTTTAATAGAAAAATTTTTTATGGAAAAAAAAATTTGATATATAAGTGATAATTAGCATAATGAAATCTAGTGCTAATTCTGTTTAATTTTAAAACAAATTGCGTTTCAAAACATAAATTTTATAAATTAAATAAATATTTGCTTTCCAATTTTTGCGAATTAGGATTTTTTTAAATTTCGAAAAAAATATTTTTTATAAAATTTATATATAAATTGTTTTAAAAAAAAAAAAAAATTAACCCCCTCCGTGAGTGAACAAAATTTTTTTGTTCACTCACGGAGGGGGGGGAGTGAGAAAATTATGCAAGAGCTTGAAGAGGGCAGCTTAGAAAACAAGAGTAAGGACTCTGATATTTATAGCTCTGATAAATACTCGAGTGGAAAAACTGTTGAGATGACATTCGGTAAAAAAGATAAAGAATCAATCAAAAAGCCTGCAGATCCAGAAATAGATGAGACAAGCAGCAATATTTACCTTATTGATGATAAGAATTTGCTTATTTATGACACTGATAATGAAAGGGAAGAGGTGATACCTCTAGAGACTGAGGAGCCGTTCGACCCAGGCACATGCATTGCTAGGCTTCCAAATGGCGAATTGTTCTGTTTCGGTATACACCCTCCATCTTCAGGATTTGCGTTGATAATTGGTAAAAATTATGAAATTCGAAACCTGCCCATTGGAACACCTTGTAACTACTCCTCAGCTACCTATTTTAACGGGAGTATTTATTGTTTTGGAGGGATAGATGTCAATTACCCTATTCATTCAGCTTTATCAGATAGGTTTGATTTAAATGAAAATCGATGGAATAAGCTAACTCCAATGACTCAAGTGGATGCCTATTGCAATAGCATCATAATTAATGGAAATATCTTGATTTCTGGATGGCTAAATAAGAATCTTTTGCGATATTCAATTGATACCAATTCTTTCACGACTATTCCTTTCGAATTTATGGCAGAGAAAAGAAAGCTCCTGATAAACGCAGAGAGGCTGTATTTGATTGAGTATGGTAATAATGGGTCAGTTTATGAATGTGGAATGGGAAGCGATACTGACTGGGCACGAGTTTCTGCTTCGCCAAGCAGCAATCTTCCTTGGCAAGTTTATATTTTAAACAACAAAGGAGAATTCTATATTGGGATATTTGAATATAGTTTCTTCGAAAAACATAAAAAGAGATACTACAAGTTTAATTTAGATGAAAAACTGCTAAATGAACTGAAAAATAAGCAGCTTAAATTTTAATTTAATAAATTCATTCTCAATGGTATATCGCTCTATAAAAATTCCCATTTATATACCTAGAAGTTTAGCTAATATGAAAATTCCAGAGCTCTCCTTGATATTGCTCCTTAAAAGATTAATATAATAGCAAAGGAGCTGCTGGTCATAAAGAGCCTATACCGTTATTTCATATAAGTTTAAATACTATACCATACCAAAAGTTTAGAAATTATACCAAATTCAAATAAAACTTATGAATATCTCATCTTATTTAACTTAAAGATTGAGTTTTGAATTGCCTAAAATAATAATGAAATGCAAAACTTAGGTATCTGAACCTTTTATCCTTGCCAATAAATTCAAATTCTTAATCTTAGTAGAGCAGTGAAATCATTGAAATACTGCTATTTCAATAGAATAAATATTGCAAATGACTCCCTGCTAAATATACTTCTGGTACAGTTTGCAAATTATAACTTATGATTTTAAAAAAAAATTATACGAAATACTTAAATTAACATATTTTTCAGCTTAAATGAGCTTGCATATTAAGTAGAGACGAAACTGAATTCAGAAATTTAGATTTCAGCTTAAATAGCATCTCACTGTAGACCTCTCGGAAATAAGGAACCGGTTCTTTATTCCCGAAAGGTTAAAATTTCATACGCAAAAAAATTATTTAACTTTTAAAGATTAAATTTACCTTAAATTTAGGACAATGATCAAATGCGACTGATTCTTCTTGATTTCTATTATTTCGCTTGAAATATCTTCAAAAGCTATAGAAATCCAATTTATTGCATTCTGTCTTGTTGGGTTTTTAATATTCCCTGCTTTAGTACGTTCATTTAAATTGCTTTCAATATATTCTGACTTCAGCTGATCAAGTTTTGCTTTAAAACTTCTGAAAATGCTAACGTCCAATGGCTGAATATATTTTGTGCAATTGCTGGGGATAGAAATATGCTTAATTCCCTTCTCTGTATATAACTCTCTTATGATATCAGAAGTATGTGATGTGCACTTGTCAGATATCATTAACTCCACATCATTATAATTTCTTAAAATATATTGCTTAAGAATTTCAATAGTTATGTACCCGTTTGAGCTATGTGCAACTTGGACATTAGGAGGAATTATTAATTTCTTTTCCACAGATTTTGGAATGCCAGATTTCTCGCTAAAAACAATAAGGGCTGGATCTTTATCTCCATTTGCCCGAATCGAAAGCAGCACTGTAAAAGCTTTTGATCCAATTGAAAGCACAGATTCAACTATTTCTTTATTGCCTTTATAATCCAAGTGTAAATTGACATGCTCCCCCATTCAACTCGAGTTTCATCAAAATTTGCTATTTTCCTCAATTCTATTTCGTTTTCACCCTTAATGCTCATGAGTTTATGGAAAAAGGACATTAAAGACTTAAAAATTTGCTCATCAGTTTTTATCTTGAAGGTACTTACTCTTTTTCAGCAGATTTCGTTTCGTTTCTTAAAGTTCAATGCCCAAGCATCGCTGGCTTTAAATTCCTCAATGCCATCTCTTCTGGCGATTTTTTTAGAGCATCAACTTGAAGATCAGAAGTTTTAACTTTCAATCCAGATTCACGCTTGCTGTTAAAAACTTCAATTAAGCTTTCTTCTATTTCCTTGTATTTAGGACCTGTAGGACCTGCTAGAGTTCTTTTTGAGTCTTTCTTTTCGCTGCTTCTTAAAACCTTCTTCTATTTTCTTCACGAGTCATTTTTTGAAAGTCTGCTTAAAAAGCCCATTCTCGATGCAAAATTCTGAAATTTTCATGCCTGAGACTTTAAATCTCTCAATATAGTCAAGCTTTTCTTGGATAGTGATTCTTTTTCTCTTGCTAAAAAATAAGCTACTACTCTCCATTAATTATTTTTAAAAAATTTTGGTTCCCTATTCTCGAAAGGTATAATTTATTTAGGGTATGACCTCTCAAGAATAAGGAACTCAATGAAATTTGATTGAAAAAACATGTTTTTTTTCTGTCACTGTAGACCTTTCGGGAATAAGGAACCGGTTCTTTATTCCCGAAAGGTTAAAATTTCATACGCAAAAAAATTATTTAACTTTTAAAGATTAAATTTACCCTTAAATTTAGGACAATGATCAAATGCGACTGATTCTTCTTGATTTCTATTATTTCGCTTGAAATATCTTCAAAAGCTATAGAAATCCAATTTATTGCATTCTGTCTTGTTGGGTTTTTAATATTCCCTGCTTTAGTACGTTCATTTAAATTGCTTTCAATATATTCTGACTTCAGCTGATCAAGTTTTGCTTTAAAACTTCTGAAAATGCTAACGTCCAATGGCTGAATATATTTTGTGCAATTGCTGGGGATAGAAATATGCTTAATTCCCTTCTCTGTATATAACTCTCTTATGATATCAGAAGTATGTGATGTGCACTTGTCAGATATCATTAACTCCACATCATTATAATTTCTTAAAATATATTGCTTAAGAATTTCAATAGTTATGTACCCGTTTGAGCTATGTGCAACTTGGACATTAGGAGGAATTTATTAATTTCTTTTCCACAGATTTGGAATGCCAGATTTCTCGCTAAAAACAATAAGGGCTGGATCTTTATCTCCATTTGCCCGAATCGAAAGCAGCACTGTAAAAGCTTTTGATCCAATTGAAAGCACAGATTCAACTATTTCTTTATTGCCTTTATAATCCAAAGTGTAATTTGACATGCTCCCCCATTCAACTCGAGTTTCATCAAAATTTGCTATTTTTCCTCAATTCTATTTCGTTTTCACCCTTAATGCTCATGAGTTTATGGAAAAAGGACATTAAAGACTTAAAAATTTGCTCATCAGTTTTTTATCTTGAAGGTACTTACTCTTTTTCAGCAGATTTCGTTTCGTTTCTTAAAGTTCAATGCCCAAGCATCGCTGGCTTTAAATTCCTCAATGCCATCTCTTCTGGCGATTTTTAGAGCATCAACTTGAAGATCAGAAGTTTTAACTTTCAAATCCAGATTCACGCTTGCTGTTAAAAACTTCAATTAAGCTTTCTTCTATTTCCTTGTATTTAGGACCTGTAGGACCTGCTAGAGTTCTTTTTGAGTCTTTCTTTTCGCTGCTTCTTAAAACCCTTCTTCTATTTTCTTCACGAGTCATTTTTTGAAAGTCTGCTTAAAAAGCCCATTCTCGATGCAAAATTCTGAAATTTTCATGCCTGAGACTTTAAATCTCTCAATATAGTCAAGCTTTTCTTGGATAGTGATTCTTTTTCTCTTGCTAAAAAATAAGCTACTACTCTCCATTAATTATTTTTAAAAATTTTGGTTCCCTATTCTCGAAAGGTATAATTTATTTAGGGTATGACCTCTCAAGAATAAGGAACTCAATGAAATTTGATTGAAAAAAAACATGTTTTTTCTGTCACTGTAGACCTTTCGGGATAAGGAACCGGTTCCTTATTTTCGAGAGGTCTACAGTCAGGAGCTGATTTAAGCAAAAACTTATACTTCAATGTTAGCTTGGAGGCAGCATTCTCAGAGGATTAAACTTTCTCATTCAAAATTATAAATTGCAATTTCAGAATCTGCGATTGAAAAGATACTTTATGTAGCAGAATTATTTTATTTAATGAGTATAAGCGTTCAGTTCATCCAAAGTTGAAGTTTTCTAAATCATCTGGCATTGTTTCAATTTAAAAATTTTTTCTCAGCATTATAGGGATTCCTACTTTATAATTCGGCTTCGAAGTGCAAATAATAGTCATTATAAGAAATTATACGGCCAGCAGCTTAGGAACTAATCTTTAAATAATCCAATCTCTCAAAAGATGAAATAGAGTATAGAATCTTTATCTATCGTCTAAGAGTAGATATATAATTCTTTATAAGAATTTAAAAATAGAGCTCCTTAATATTATACTTACTCCCCTCGTGAGCGAACAAATAATAAATCTTGTTCACTCACAGAGGGGGATTAATATTTTTTTTAAAAAATTATATAAAAATTTGTTTTCAGGAATTTGAAAAAATCCCATTCTCAAAAAATTGGTAAGCAAATATTTATTAATTTAATTTGTAAAACTTATGTTTTAAAATGCAATTTGTTTAAAATTAAGTAGAATTAGCTAGAGATTTCATTATAATAATTATCACTTATATACAAAAATTTTTTTCCATACAAAAATTTTGTTTGCTTTAGGAGGGTAGGTTTTTGTGTGCAACAATCAGGGATTTTTCTAATGGTTTTGCTCGCTCATGGACGGGGGAGTTAAGTAACATTTTGCAATAATGTAATGAGACATTATTAATAAATGGGAAAAGAGAAGATTTATGAGGATTTCTGAATAGAAGCATATCTTTTTTGATAATATCTTGCAATCGAAGCGGAAATGGAAGAATTGGCAGTCTAATGTTAAGGCTATTGCAGAAAAATGAAAAGTTAAATAATCTCTTAAATTCACTCTTTTAAAGTCTGGGAGTTTTTTTAATAAAAATTCTTAATTTAACGCATAGCAAAATTAATTTGGCTTTGTTTCAAAAGGACTAGTCAGAATATCTTCTACTTGAATCTCGAATTTGGCTAAAGTTTTATTATCTTTCTCTATAAAAAATTATTTTATTTAAATAAATAGCTAAAATCGGTTGATTGTTTTATTAGTAATTTTTTATTTGATTATGCATATAAACAGTTTTTTACAATTAAATCTGAAATTAAAAGTAAGGCTCCGACAATGCTTCAGCAAGCTTAGATGCTGTCTTGAATACACTTTTGCTTAATCTTTTTTGCAGTATAAGGCTGCTTTTATAATTGTCATTTTTATAAATATTTGAAAGAGAAGGCAATGTTTGCAATTTGCTTGGCTGAACAAATGACTTATTTAAAATTTTATATTTTGATTCTTTTTCAGGAGGTCTGATCTTTTTGTCTATCATTGACCTGTTCAATTCACTCAATTTCTTATCTTTGATTGCTTTAGCATTTACAAGCATCAAAGAATGGTTCCTTGACAGCTTTTGCGGGTTTATTTTTATTTTCGTTTGAAATAGGGTGCTTTTTAAAGTCGGAATTCTGCTGAATTTATTAGGCCTTTTTACCTTAATTAAATTCATTAATGTTTGCGGCTCCATAAAGCCTCGACCTTCAATTAGCATTGACCTCTCATCATGTGGCTTTGGGTTTAAATTCTGCTTTTCCATGTTCTGGCTGAGCTTATTAATTTCAGAGTCAATTTGGGCATCAATCGCACTTGTATTCAAATAAAACCGTCATGGAATTTGGCTTTCAAACTCAGTTTTGGCATAGGGTCTCATATTTAAGCCTTGCTGAAGAGCTCCAATGACCTCCCAAGCCTCTGTGGACACTAATTTCACATTTTTATCGTAGCTTGTTGTTATCAGTGTAGAGTTTTCAGTCATAAAGTGCAAATGGCGGATCGACTCTGAATGCAGTTTCATAGAAGATATTTGATAAACTAAATTCTTTGGGAGATCAGGCAAATCTTTTCCAAGCTGATTGCGTAAGCATTTTAGCTTGTTTTCTCTTCCATCTGAAGAAATAGGAGCAATCTCAAGAACGCTTATTAATTTTTCGAATGAAAAGGCTTTAAGGCATCCTTTTTCATCGCCTATAAATAAAATATGCCTTTTATTGTCATATTCTGTTGACTGTACATATGAATTCACCCCTTCTTGGTCTAAATTTAAAAACTTGTAAATATTACACCATTTATAAGGGGAGGGTGGAAGTGACCAAAGCTTTACTTCTCCACTCACATCACAAGAGAAAACCTAGCTCCCCGTTTAAATTGGAACATAAACATAAACATTGGTAAAATTTCATTTTTTTGGGTACTTCAACCCCTTTAAAATGGAAAAAAATTTTCAATAGGAAAATTTTCGTCGAGAATACTGATCAATTTACTAATTTTTCTAAAATTAGTTTTGACCATATTTAATGGAAAATTAAAAGTAGAATGCTATTTAAAGGATTTCACACTGAACTGATTATTTTTTAATTATTTCTTTCTAAAATAAATTAAATTTTAAGTGTTGTGCCTATTTTATATTTTGAATTTTTAAAAAAAAATATTATAGAGAAAAAATATAAATTTAATTTTTAAAAAAACAAAAATTAACCCCTTTTAAATTGAAACAGATTTTTTTTTTGTTCCTATTTAAAGGTCGGAGTAAGGGATAAAGCTCGACCACCTGAATAGCAGAAATCTCTCTATTATGGGAAAACTCATGGTCAGAAAGCTCACCTGCTTCTAGATCTCAGAATTTAACTGAGCCATCACCTGCACCAATTACTAGCATGTCAAGGAAATACACAAGTTTTAGTGAGTGAGCAATGCTTCAGACTTCATCTACGTAATAAAGAAGATGTGAGTCTGAAAGTACATTGTCGTCATGGACCATTATGACCATATCTAAGCTTGACGTTACAATTAAATTAAGCTGTGTTGACGAGCTAATGCAATTTATTTCTGCTTTATGGTCAGTTAATGACTTCATCAAAGCCCCATTCTTTATATTATACACTCTGACATGACCTTTCTGGTTCCCTAAAATGATTCTCTTTGCTAAATAATCCATTTCTGCACAGGAGATGTCTCCATCTGCAGAGGGTGCATAAAAATTTTCATATTTCCCTGTCAGTGCATTCCACAGTTTGACTTTGTTTACAATTGGTGTAACCATTTTTTGTGAATTTGGGGTGTAATAGCAGCCTAATGGGATGTTATCGTCAACCAGGTGAGGGCTACAGTTCTTATCATAATCATAAAAAACCAAAGACTTGCCTCCGAATATCAGCCTTTGCAGCTTGGGAATATACAAAAAATCATTCAATGAAAACCTTTCTCCAGATCGTTTTTCTTCAATATTAAATGTCTGCACGCAGCTTAAGTTTCTTATGTCTCATACTTTTACATATCCGTCAATGTCAGCAGAAATTATTTGAGGACTGTTTGGGAGTACTTTAACCCCTACCAATGATGCACTGTGGCCTTCAATAGTAAATGCTGCTGAGTCAATATACGGGTTTCATACATAAATATCATGATCAAACCCAGAAGAGAAAAGAAGCCGGTACTCAGAATTAAAGGCAAGAGAAAGGACTCCTTGAGTATGGCTGCTATAGACTCTGCGTGGTTTATTAGATATAGTATCTCATAAAATTACTTTACGGTCTAGCGAGCAGGAAAATAAAAACTCAAATTTTGGAATCGCAAAAATGTCAGTCACCAGGTCTTCGTGGCCTTCACTTAAGACTTGGGCTGGAAAATTTGACTCTCGGTCTTCATAGTTCCAGATCTTGATGTCTCCTTCACTGTCTCCTGTATATAAAATCCTGTTCAGGTAATTTCATGCTACTGCTCTCTGAGGCTCTTTACAGTAAAGTATTGGGTATCCACCCTTGTGGTTCATTGAGTGAAAGTGAGACCCATTTGTGCCTCAAGATCTAATAGTCCCATCATTGCATAAGGTTACTAAATATTGATACTCAGGCTCAGGTAAAAATGCAGCATTATTTACTATTACCCTCGGTCAAACCTGGCTGGGTCTACATGACTCTACGACTCTACCTTGAGTCTAGCTCTACCTAGCAATCCGGCTCTTGACTCTAGCTGGCTCTACCTAACAGTCTTGCAGTCTAGCAGTCTGGTTCTACTGACTTTTCAAAACCTAGGTAATATATTTTTGTAGAGCAATGAAGCCAGGTAGGGTGAGACTACCAGGTAGACCCAGCAGAGTCAGGTAGAACCAAGTAGAGCTAGACTGTCAGGTAGAGTCATTAGAGCTACATAGAGCAAGGCTGCCAGACTGCCAGGTAAAGCCAGTAGAGCCAGACCGCCAGGTAGTGCCAGATAGTCAGGTAGACCCAGCCAGGTTTGACCATACCCTTCTTGGGCCTTTGTATAGATATGAAGCTTGATGTATATTGATTTGTTGAAATTCCTCATTTTGTACTTGTAGCTCTTTTCCCATAGTTTTTCCCGTTTCTGGATTATAAAATTTGACGATATGTGTATAGTCCTCAATCACCCCAATTCTATCAAGTGTCTCCATCAGCACAAGCCTTTCAACAGTCATGCTATTAGGACAAGCAATTAAAACAGGACTGAGTGAGTAATTTTTAATGACATCAGTTCGGGTCTTTTTCATCGCATTCAGAGCTGTAGCTTTTTCAATGATATAATTCGTGAACTCTTCTCATTCAACTATCCCATTTTTATTAATATCAATGTCTTTGAATAGCTGAATAATTAGTTTTAGCATGATTTTATCTCGGTTTTCTAAGTTTGGCTTCCATTGGTCAAAATAAAACCTCAAGCTGTTTACAAAATCTTCCAAATCTAATGCGCCGCTTTTTTTATCGAATTCTTTTTTTATTTCACAGATCGTGAACGAGTCAAGGTTCATTGTTAAGTCCAATAGCAGTTCTTCTTCTAATTCCAGCTTATTTGCATATGCAGCTCTTTCCGATGGCAATACCGTCGGTTTTCTCTCGAGCCTTTCCTGCATTATTTTAAGCTCAATTTTATAAAATATGATTTTAAGGTACTTATTTAATATCAAAATACTTTATTGGTTCGGAGCTTGGCAAATTAGGCATCTCATTGATCTGATCTGTGACATGATCATGCTTTTATCTTCAGTTTCAATATTAAACTCATTCAAAGTGTCTTCGAAAAGTGCTGAATAAATATTGAAATCCTTTTCCAAAATCCCCAAGTTTTGATGGGCAGCTTTGATTTTCCTCCTAAACTGTAGCGTGGCACATCCGTTGAAGACTTTATTCATCCCATTCAAAATCATGTCAATGTTGTTTTTTGTGAAATATCTTCGTAGTGGGCACTCAGTGGACATGACTTTCTTATACAAGCTCTGTGTGAAGTTGCTTCAGAACTCATCCCCTCCATACTTGCCTACCAGGTTTTGCTTTTTTACCTTCAAAAGCTCAGTGTTCATGTTCATTTCTTCAATTCTGCCGATAGCATCAGTAAAACATCGATTGATGTGGTCATTGTTTTCATCAGTCCACAATGCATTAGAAGTGGGAGGAGAAAGGTGAGGAGACTTGTCACTGCCGCTGGATGGCTCCCCAAAATCAATGTTCTTTAAGCAATACCGGGTTTGGTATGATTTGATGCTTTGTTCTTCGATATCTGCACATGCAACTTCATTAAAAGGCTTCAGATTCAAGATCTGCTCAAGCCTCTGGTTCACCCGATTCCAGCGCTCCACTATTCCTTGTGTAGACTTGTTGGCTGGGCTTGGAGGCGGTCTAGGAGACCTTATTACGAATGGGCAAGCTTGTTTTTCTTCTGAAATGTTTATAGCGATCGGGGATGACCGATACTTTAGCGGAGAACTTTCTGAGCTTTTTCTGCTGCTTGTAGAGACTGTTTCCACTTCTGAGCTTTGCCTTGACTTATTGATTTTGCTACGCGGTTGGCCTTTTCGCATGCTGTTGATAGACGGAGACCGGTTGTGTGTCGAAATTTCTTTACAATCTAGCAGGTACCATTTATAGTCTTTATCATGGATAAAGTCAAGCACAATCCCTTTTAGCTCCTGGTTCTTATAAATGTTGATATTCAAGAAATCAACGATTTCTGCCACAATTGGATCTAGGTCTCCAGCCTTAATAGGATCCTCAACCACAAGTATGCTATCTGGAGCTTTGGTGTTGACAATCAGCCCATGCTGGCTATCAGGATTTCTGAATTCTTGGTTTTTCATTGACAGTGTCCTTTCGAGTTTTGGCTTCTCAGAAATGCTGGCACGGGCTGTCATATTGACTTTGAATGGATTGTTAACTGACCTTGAGGTTTTGAGAATCATGTTAGTGTACTTGAAATCTCCCAAAATGGACAGACTTTTTTTCTTCTGATAGGCCGCTGGCTTTTTAGCTCCTTTGGAGTGCTTCATTTGTTGACGGTTTATGATGGTGCAGTACTTGGTTTTTAGACCTGCCCTTCAAATCGCTCTTGTAACAGAAGTCGGCTTGGATTTGCACTGGACGCAACATTGGATCATGGCTGGCCAGTCTGTTGAGGACTTTCAGAAGAACTCAGCGCTTTCGCGAGAGTTAAGCAGGATACTTTCTCTGTATAAAGTTTTATAGAAAAAGACATCACGCCTTGAGGTTTTTGTATTTCGATCAGGATAGAAGAAATCATTGTCACTGCAGGCTCGTGAGGTGATGGTGCCATTTTCATCTGTTTTTAGAAGGTAAAGTGAGGCTGCATTGTCTATTCGGATTAGAGTTGTTGGTATGTTTACATTAATGTCACTCGAATTTGCATGAACCCTTATCAATTGAGTTTTTCCCCCAGGTAAATTTATATAAAAAAAATATTATTTATTTATGTTAAGTATATACTGCAAAAAGACTGTATATGCCGAGTCGCTGGCCATCTGGAAGATTGGGCAGATTACTGAGGTTTCTCTTAAGAGACTCTTCTTCCAAATGGCTGCTCATGGCTGTTGTGACGCTTTTTATCGATGTCCGCTTAAATGGGAAAGATAAACTCGCTGGGAGAATTTTGTGTTCGTCCATGGATTTGTGGATCTTTTATTTATCCAGGACCATCAGAAATATGGATTTTCTATGCATTGTTCATTTTAGCATTCTCACAGGAGAATTTGGTATTTAATTGAAAATTTATGGGAATTTTAGATGATCTAACAATAACTATTATTCGCCAGCTATTATATCATTATAAAACAAAATGGATATTTTGATGCTATCAGATTGAATAAAGCATGGAAAATACTAATTAAACTTTTCTAGGTGTCTTTATTAACAACTATTCCCTTTATTTAAGATTTTAAATTGCCTTTTAAAAAATTATAAATTAATGCTAGTCACAATAATATTTTTAATTCTGTCATAACCAATTTAATTAGATCTTCTTTCAGCTTTTATATGCATCTATGATAAAGACCTTCATCCCTCCTTAATATCTCCGCTTATATCGCAATAAATTTATTATAAAATTATTTATAATGGATCAAGCATTAATTACTCAAAAATTAGTTACTTTGCTGACTCAGTGGCTGACATATCAAGCTTTTCATTAGCCTTATCTGAGACATAATCATTTCTTTATCTCCCTCTTCTACGTTAAACTCATTGAGTGTGTCTTCAAAAAACCCTGAATAAATCGCGAACTCACTTTCAAGAATCCCCATATTTTCATGAATCGCTTTAATTTTCCTTCGAAACTGCAGACTCGCACAGCCGTTAAAGACCTTATGCATCCCACTGGTAATCATTGACAAATCTGAGCTCAAAAAATGCTTTTTCAACGGAGAGCCAGTCGACATGATTTTCTTATATAAGCTATCAATAAACATCGTCCAAAACTCGTCCCCTCCGTATTTCCCGATTAAATTCTGTTTTTTTACTTTCAGCAGCTCTTTATTCATATTCATTTCTTCGAATTTTTCTATTACATCAGTTAAGCATTTATTAATATGCTCATCTTTTTCATCTGACCATAAGGAATTTGACGTGGGTGGGGCCAATGGGGAAATATCATTGACGCTGGATTGCTCACTATCAGGCATGCTGTTTTTCATTGTAAGTCTTGTTTGGTAAGCCTTGATGCTCTGTTCTTCTATACTTGCATTTTTTAATTTATTAGGGAGACTTTTGCTTATCACTGATTCAAGCTTTTCATTTATTTTGTTTCAGCGCTCGACAAGATCTTGGGCTGATTTTTTAGTCATGCTTGGAGATGGCGGCGGAGGAGGAGATCTCATGATGAATGGGCAGGATTGTTTTTCGTCAATGTCTTCGTCAGTCTCAGTCTTGTGGCTTTTGAATTTCAGCTTAGTTGTGTCAATACTGAGCCTTGTTCTGGTCTCTTTTCCGATAATCTGTGCTTTCCTTTTATTTTTAATTACGGCGTAGTTACTTACTGTTGAAATTTCTTTGCAGTCTAGCAGAAACCACTGCTCGTCTTGATTTCTAATGAAATCAAGCACAATTCCTATCAGCTTTTGGTCTTTGTAAATATTGATATTCAAAAAATCAATTATTTCATCAACTAGTGGCTCTAAGTCATTTTCCTTTATAGGGTCTTCTACTACGAGAAGATTCTCTGGAGCCCTTGTGTTTACAATTAGTTCATTTTGGCTACCTAAATTCTCCTGAGGATCAGGAGCTGGCTTTTCTCGGCTCTGTAAAGTAGCGGCACGGTCAAGCTTTTTCTTATCATCAAAGCTTTTTCGAGTTGTAACGTTGACTTTGTAAAACTAAAGTTAAAAATTATTGTGGGTATAAGCAGGCAAATCTACTAGTTGTCTCACCTTGGCTCCAAATGGTCACCTTTTTGGATTCCCTACCTGAACCACTTTTCCAAGGGATACCTCTAGCTCAGAGCCACCTCTGTAAAGCGCCCTGATGAGAAATGCCATGTGCTAGGCAAAACCTATTTACCCATCTGGCAGGAACATGAAAATCTTCAGCTAGGCAAGGCATCCCAAATTTAAGACCTACTTCAAAAAATGCAGAGCCCTGATAGCTTCATCAGGATGATTTCAACCTGCTCCATAGGAGTTCACCTCTCTGAGTCCAATTCCTCATCCTCAGTATTTTATTTCTATTGACCTTGTAAGGGTTGTTGATAGATCGAGAAGTTCTGTGAATCATATTGATGTACTTGAAATCTACTTGACTTTTTCTATGATACATGCTCGGCATTGTGCACTTTTTAGGAGCTTTTGGATCTTGGTTAAGCTGCTGACGATTTATGATGGTGTAGTATCTTGTTTTCATTCCTGCCCTCCACAGTGCTCTTGTAACTGAAGGCGGCTTCGTTTTAGATTGGATGCAGGTTTGAATTAAAGCTGGCCAGTCTTTAGATGACTTCCAGAAAAGCTCAGCGCTTTTTCTTGAATTAAATACAGTGCTTTCTTTATAAAGGGTCTTGTAAAAATAAGTTGCTCCTTTTTTAGTCTCTAACTTTCTTTGTAAATATTTTTACTGTTTTTTATTTTTATTAAAAATAATTAATTTATTTTTAATTTATTCAGCTGGGGCAGAAAGGATGGAAAAAATCATCATCACGACAAGGACGAGAAGAAATTTTGCCATGCTCGTTTGTTTTTAGTAAATATAAAGACTCGTTGTCAATTCTAATTAATGTGGTAGGAATGTTTGCATTGATGTCGCTAGAATTTGCATAGACTGCAAAAAGGCTGTAAATCCCAAGCCGTTGACCATCTGGAAGCTTAGGCAAAGAATTTAATGTCATTTTGACTGTCTCAGTTTCGAAATGTTCAGCGTTGGCTTCTGTGAATCTCCTTTGTGAATGCCTTCTAAAATGAGCTGGCAATGCTCCTGAAGAATTTCTAAGCTCGTCCATCATTTATATCTTTATAGAAATTTTAAGCAGTCAACGATTTCAAGGTTTAAGACTAATTCAGCTTACTCCCCTGGCTAGCGAGAAAAACCATCATAATCCGTATTTTAAATCAGCCCATCAATATTGCCCCAGGATTCCTCATCCTTTTGCCCACATTGCAGATTCAAAATGCTTATAAGCCAAGTGAATCATTTGGTTCTACAGCAACATCTAAACACTAATATTTTTTAGATTTATATGAATATTTAGCCAAAATATAAATATATAAGCCCTCTTTTTTAAATTTCTAGTCTAATCTAGCTTGATTGACACCAATAAGTAATTTATTGTAGCACATAATATAAAGTTGCATAAAAATAATTTTTATTCGATTTTTCATCTACCATATCTATATTGTAAATCTGAATAAAATTTAAAAAAAAAAACTTTATAAAAATTTTGCTCACTAACTCAGGTGATTTAGCTATAAGGGATAGCTAGAGTAGATTTTGTCTTAAATATTGAAGTTAGATCAATTATAGTTTATCATTTATTAAAATTAGCATAAATAAAACTCATTTAAGTTTTGAGAAATAGATGAAAAAGGTTAAAATTACTTTAGACTATCAAAAATATTTTTAAATAGCTCCCAGTCTTCAAATCCAAGGTCGTCAAGAAATTTACTATGGAATTATAAAATCTATATTTATAAGGCGAATTGATAAAATGTCATTGCTATAATATTATAGAGCGGGAGAAATGCTAATTTTTATTGATATATAAATGTTAAATTATCATAAATCTTCTTTTTCTTAATCCTTCAAAGTGTAGCATTAGTTTCTCAGTTGGCTTGTAATTTATTGTTTATGCGCTAGAAAATCATTGATAAAATCTTCTGGAAATTTGTTTCCACAGATGATGCAATAAATATCTGTCGGATTCACTTTGATATCATCTAAGGATGTGGAGACAAAAGCCTTAAACATTTCAAAATGCTGTATCTGCCAGCAATTAGGGCATTTTATATTATTACTTACTCTAGCCTCAATATTTTGCCAGCTTTTATAGAAATTAACATTAAAAAGATTTAATATAAAAATTAATTAATAATTAATTTTTATTCAATAATTAAAACCAAAACTAATCTAGAATTTTTGAGGCTAGTTAGTTCAGGACTGCTTGGCTCTGTGATTTGATTTGCTGGTCTGGTAGAAAAAAGGCTTTCTGCTATTCTATTATCAGTAGCTAAATTATCTGTTGAGAAGCTGCTCTGGTCAATTGCTTCAGAGCTTTCTGTTTCACTAGTAAGTGGAAATTCAATTGATCTGCTAACAAAATACTCTTTTAGCCACCCTTGCATTGTGCTATCAATATCCATTAGAGCTTCAATTCTTTTTCTTTCCTCTATGGAACTTTCATGTCAAGATTCAATGCTAAAAACGTTATTGCCCTCACGAGCAGTCTTGATTAGATTATCAAAGGCATGCTCTAATCGTATTGGTGATGAGCTACCAAAAATACTCCTGCACTGGAAGATCATTCACTTTGTGGTGAACTTTTCAGTAGGTCTAGCCGCAGCCGGTATATTTGCCTCTTCGAGACTTCAATCTTGAGTGGATGAGTGACTTAATTTCAGAGATTAACTTCTTGAAATATATCGGATGCTAGAGTGCCTTTCTTTGGCAGCTACATGGAGAAGACTGCTCTCCTAGTCTCTGGCTGAAACATTAACGTATCAGTAGAGGATGCCAAAGATTCCTTAAGACACTACTAGGCACCTCCATTTAGAACCACATGATATAGCCAAATCTAGTCAGATGCATATCTTTTGTTTCTCTACTTAGAATCCGTTCCAATTCGCTGTAGCCTTAGGTTTTTGACTGTTATGCCAAGACACGTGTCTCCATTTTAATCTGCCTTTTTCGCGAGCAGACACCTTTTCTTCTTCCACTCGCATTTGGCTTTGACATTGTGAAGAGATAGGAACTATTTTTATTTCACTTATAGCCTCAAGGCTAAAAATATCCTCACTTTCACGGGCAAACCCTTTCTTTTCTTCCATTTGAATCTCAATTTGGTTTTCTAAATAAGCAGGAGCCATTGTTAATCTTCGAGCTATAAGCTGGTTGATTTTTTCATGGACTTCATTCATAGTAGGCCTTATTTTAGGATCATGAGTAACCATCTCTAAAATGATTTTGATGAGCTCTTCGCTATACTTTTTCCCGAGCATCTCTGCTTTTATTTTTTCCCGATTTTCTGCCTCACCTTCCTCGAATGTGGAGTTTATATTTTTTGTCAAAACTTCATAAAATGTTTTACCTAACGAATACACGTCCTCTTTCTTTGGATCAATTTCAGAGCTTTTGGGTCCTTCTTTTCACTTTTCCAGCATTAATGGTGACATATAGTTTTCAGTCCCTTCTATTGTGTTGAGATTATTGCACGTCACATATCTTCTTTTGGCGCCTCCGAAATCGCCGATCTTTCACTCATCATTTTCACAGACAAAAATGTTTTGTGGCTTTAAGTCTCTGTGCGCCACATCTATTGTTTTTCAATGGAGCAAAGCCAAGACATTTGTTATCGTTGCGAATTTTTTTAGCAGGAAGTCTTCAGTCCAGTATTCACCTGTTTTACGCATAATTACTTTTTCAAGACTCTCCTGACTGCAGATCTCCATGAAAATTAGTACTTTTTTCTTTATTTCCATGTGATGGTAGAATTGGACAATGTTTTTGTGAAGCTTCCCCACGAATTGAAGGATTTTGGCCTCTTTTTTGATGCGCTCATTTGATTTGATTTCATGATATTGTTTCATGATTGCGTATTTTGGATAACCGCAGCCTTTGCTATAATGCTTAAATTCTACTTTTTGCACTAAAGTCTTCTAATTGAAAAAGATTGTTTTGATGATGTTGAAATTTCTATAATACTCTTTTCGATTTCTCATTTCTATAAAAATTAATATAGAATTTACAATTATTTTTATTAATAAGATTAACAAAAAGATTTTTCAAATTAAAATTAAAGTTTAATCATGATTATTTGAAATTTAGGAAAATTGAAAATAATTTTCTTCTCTTAATTATGATTTAGGAATTTCAAAAGCTTTCCTACTCATTTTTTATATTTTATGCATAAGGGCTTAGGCATACATTTTATCTAAATCTATTTGCACCAATAAGCATTAAAGTATGGAAAAGTTATATAACTTTTATTAATTAGAAATTGTTTAGCAAGTCTAAAATTATACCTATTAATTTTTGCATTTACAATTATTATTGTGTAATTTTCTGAATCAGTTCTTGAGGGTATCTATTTCCACAATGGTTGCAGCAAATATCTGTAGCATTTTGCTCAAAAGACAAACATGTCGTAAAATATGATTCAAATTCCTCCCACTCAACCTCAAGCCCACAGCTGCATCTTACTTTTCCATTATGCAAATAGCTTTGACTGATTCCTAGATTTTCTAGCCCATTCAAAACCAAGGTTTCTCCATTTAATCTTTCAGCCTGACCAGAGTTCTCCTCTACATCCATCCCATTAGAAAAATAATCATTGAATTCTTCCAAAGTAAAGTTGCCAGAAAAATCATGAACAGTTTCTGTTTCATGGGCTGACGAAGATGAGGCATAATAGTCAGAAATTCTCATTGCTGGCCTTCTTCCTTCTATTGTACTTTGAAGGATTGAATTAACATTTATAATCATGTTAGCTTCTCGAGCTGAGCTTTTTTCTTCTTCAACTGGCATTGCATCCTGGATTTCTGAGTATTCTAATTTTGCAAAAGCTTCCTGGAGCTCTCTCAGTCTTTCTCAAACTTCTTTCATAGAAGGCCTTTTAATAGGATTGTGTGCTAGCATGCTTAAAACAATGCTTATCAGCTCTTTACTGTGCCCTAACATGCCACGACGTACTTGTTTTTTGCTTTGTGTCTCATTTTGTGGAAATTTCTCATATAGGCTCATACTGGCGATTTCATAAAAAGTTTTGCCCAGTGAGTACACATCTTCTTTCTTTGGATCAATATCATCGCTCTTAGGGATTTTGAGGTTGTACTTTTCTATTAAAAATGGGGACATATAAAGTTCTGTCCCTGCAACTGTATTAGGCTCATTGCATTTAATAAGTTTTTTTGCTCCTCCAAAATCGCCGATCTTCCATTCATCATCTTCGCACACAAATATGTTGTCAGGCTTGATGTCTCTATGGACAATATTGATTAGATGAAGGTAAGCTAAAACTTCTGAAACCGTGATAAAATTCTTTATAAGTTGGCTTTTATTTCAGACTTCTCTTCCATTATTTTGTAATATCATGTAGGCAATGCTGTCTTTGCTGCAGGTTTCCATGAAAATTGTAAATTTGCCTCCAATTATCATGTGATGGTAAATTTTTACAATATTATTGTGTAGCCTCCCGACGTATTCTAGGATTAAGGCTTCTTTTTCAATACGTCTATTTGATGCCTCATTGTATCTCTTCATCACTGCAGTTCTAGGGAAGCCTAAATTTTCCTGGTAATGCTTAAATTGTACAATTCAAATAATGGTTTTTGTGCTTTTCCTTGAAATGTCTTTAATCATTGTGAAGCTACTGAAATAGGCATCTTTTTGATCGACCATTCTATAATTATTGTATATTAGATGGCTTCATATTCAATTAAAAGTTCGTTCTTATAAGGCTGATATTTCTCTTACAAAGGCTTAATAGCTATTATTAAAGAACTGGAGCTGCTTGTGAATTAAATTTTCATATAAAATTAATAGCTTTTAAATAATTAATACTTAAAATTAGAAATTGATGAAATAAATATAGTAAATTTATCTATGCTATTTTAACCTATATAGATGGTTTTTCAAGAAATTCATGGATTTTGAAGTCCTTACCCACATTTTTTGGCAAAAAGACCACTTTCTTGCAAACTTGACTCAATTGAGTTTTATACATGTGAAATTCCCCTTTCAAATCTTTCGTTTGGTAAAAAAATATGAAATTTGAGATCGGCCACAAAGCAATTTGTCTTAGAGGTATAAATAGAGGCACCCAGACATTATTTACGAATTCACCGACCCTTACCCCTTGGCTTTGGAATATCATTTTATATCGATTCATTAATTCTGGTTCAATCCCAAAGTAGCTCAAATAATTGAATCCAAAATTCGGATATTCCTGATGTAAACCCCAATCTGGATGATTTAAGGCCAAATGATTATCAATTAAAACGTGCTTGAACGTCAAATTTTCTTCCTCATATTGTTTGGCATTTGTTAAGTGTCTCTTAATCTCAGCTTCTTTCCCTCCACATCGGATAAGTCCATAGCAATACTTCACAGTCGCTAAATTGCTGTCAAACACAATTTGGTCCTTTTCGGTGGCTGCCATGATCCTGGAATGTGTCACAACTGCAAGTGGGTCTTCTTCTAGTCTAAAATCAGCTATATATGATAGGCAATCTGGGAAAAATTGTTGGTCTTGTGTATTCTTACTGTTGAACAGAATTTGACTAATTAGATCATCTTTGTATCCTGAGTTAGTCATTTTCTGTATGAACTTTTGGTTTCATGATCCAATTTTCAAGCTTTCATTTGACTGTAACAATTTTTTAATGATTGAATTTGGGGAAATGATATTCTGTCAGTCATATGGTAAAATACTAAATATATTTGAAATATGATGCAAGTAAATTGGCTTATGTTTCATTACCTCTGAGCATTTGCTCAATCCCCCGTGAGAGAATAAAAATAATTAAAAATCCTTTTTTTGGGAAAAACTCATTCCCATAAGCGAACAAAAGTTTTTTTAATGAAAAAATATTTTGATATATAAGTGAAAAATTATTATAACTAATTTTGTTTAATTTTTTTAAAACAGCTTGTATTTAAAACATAAATTTTGCAAATTAAATTGAAATTTATTTAATTTTTTTTTGTTGAATTTATATATAATTTTTTTAACAAAAATTAACCCCTATCCATAAGAGAACAAAATTTTTTTGTTCGCTCACGGAGATGGGGGAGTCAGCATCAAGTGTACTAAGCCTGAGTGCTCTGTTTTGTAATTTTCAAATAGCTCGCGGCTGCTTAAAATTAATATGATATCATCTACGCTATAGTTTTTTATGATATTTCAAATATTTTGGGTAACAATGTTTTCAATATTTTCTTGCCTTGGCCTCTGCAGAATAAACTCAATGATATTGATAAATTGACTGGAGTTTATTTTAGAGTTGAGTATTTCTTCAAATAAAAGCACTTTAAGCTCTTCATTTGAAGATTCAAGAATTATTGGAATTATAAGCTCTTTTTTAAGAGCAAGCTTAGGATCTAGCTCTTTAATAAGCTTGTTGGCATATTCTTTTGTAAGTTTTCCTGCATTGCTTACTCCCCCCCCCCCCCTCCGTGAGCGAACAAAACCATTAGAAAAATCGCCATTTTTTGACCAAAAACCCACCCTCCGTGAGTGAACAAAAATTTTTTTAATAGAAAAAATTTTAATGGAAAAAAAATTTTTGATATATAAGTGATAATTAGTATAATGAAATCTAGAGCTAATTCTGTTTAATTTTAAACACAAATTGCGTTTTAAAAACATAAATTTTGCAAATTAAATTAATATTTGCTTCCCAATTTTTGCAAATTAGGATTTTTTTAAATTTCGAAAAAAATATTTTTTATAAAATTTATATATAAATTTTTTTAAAAAAAAAAATTAACCCCCCTCCGTGAGCGAACAAAATTTTTTTGTTCGCTCACGGAGGGGGGGGGGGGAGTTAGTATATTAGCTATTGAAATGGCAGTATCAATATTTTGCTTACCCTTTTAAAAAAAAATTATAATAAATCCTTTTCTGAGTCATTTTTTTAAAAAAGTTCATTTTTTGTGGTTTATTCATTAATGAACGGGTTAGAATAAGGCAAGTTCATCATTTTCATGCTAATTTTGTCAAGCAAGTCTGAAATCAAACTTGTTTTATTTTCTCTGCAAATTTTCCAAAACAAGTGCCAATCAATAAAAGAAGTTGGCTGAATCGTAAAATTATCTGCATGAATATTGTTAATGTGGGTCAAAAAATCAGAAAACTCTTTATCAGTGGAACCCTGAAGTCTTAGCACCGCTGACCTTATGATATTAGGCGTGTAAATATCATACTTTTCAAGAAGCAAATTGATTTTTTCAAAAGGCGCATTTGTGAATTTTACTGTTTGATGGATTTCATCTTGGTCATTTATCATTAGCTTGTTTTTCTCAATAAAATATACCCACGCACTCGGATCGCTTTCATAAAATATTGAAGAGAACAGCAAGACCCCTTTATAAAATTTCTTTTCAGCCAGTTTAAAGTCCAAAAACTTATAAACTTTTTCCTGGATTGGTTTTAGCTCTTTAAAAGTTGCTGATTCCTCCCTCCGTGAGCGAGCCAAAAAAAATTGTTCTCTCACTGAGGGTATTAATTTTTTTTAAAAAATTATATATAAATTTAAAAGGATCTCGATTTTAAAAAAAATATTAATTTAATTTTTAAAATTTAAGCTGTTCAGAATATAGAGATTTCTTTATAATAAATATCAAGCTATTTTCTATAAAAAACTTTCATATTAAAAAATTTTTGTTTTTACTGACTCCCCCCCCCCCCTCCGTGAGCGAACAAAAAAATTTTGTTCGCTCACGGAGGGGGGTTAATTTTTTTTTTTTTAAAAAAATTTATATATAAATTTTATAAAAAAATTTTTTTTTCGAAATTTAAAAAAATCCTAATTTGCAAAAATTGGGAAGCAAATATTAATTTAATTTGCAAAATTTATGTTTTAAAACGCAATTTGTTTAAAATTAAACAGAATTAGCTCTAGATTTCATTATACTAATTATCACTTATATATCCAAATTTTTTTCCATTAAAATTTTTTCTATTAAAAAAATTTTTGTTCACTCACGGAGGGTGGGTTTTTGGTCAAAAAATGGCGATTTTTCTAATGGTTTTGTTCTTCGCTCACGGAGGGGGGGGGGGGGGAGTGAAAAAATAGGGATTTTTCCAATGGTTTTGTTCACTAACGGAGGGAGGAGTGAGGAGATATAAGTTTCATTTGGGATTGTTGAGATCTTACGAATCTTTGCAAGCATTTGAAATAATCTATGGGGATCTGAAATTTCTTGGGAAATATTTTCTATAAGAAAATCAGATCATGGCATAAGAATAGGCCTTAATGAGGGATGTGTGGTGAAAATTTTATCTAAAATAATAAACTTTTGGTCATATGGCAATCTTGATAGGGAGTTTTTGTCAAAATTTAAAATTTTATCAAAGTTCAGAACTGATGAAAATGAGGAAATATAGCCTAATTTAGAAAATTTAATGAATGATATATGATTGATAGCTTCAAAGAGGACAAGTTCATTATAAAATGGTAAGCTTTCTAAGAGTTTTTTTAGGAATTCTGAATTCACTGAAGATAATGGAGTTTTTTTGGAGCTCTCTAATATTGGGAGTAAATCTTCAGTTCTAATAAGTCTTCTTTCTAGTTTAGGAAAGACTAAGCTTAAAGCCAGCTTTACTAGCTTCTCTTTAGCAATTTCACTATTTTTTAGAATTTCAATTAAAAAGCTCAAATCAGTCTTATTTCCTTTCTTCAATAACACCTCTATGATATTATTTCAAAGCCTATTTGACTTTGCAGATGGCATTATTTTGATTTTGCTATAGCATTTTGCTGCCTCCAGCAGCTCATATTCACTTCAATTAGTCATTTTTGTTTCCAAAATCCCTACATATTTTAGCAAAATAGACTCAAATTCTGCACCAAAATCAATTTTTTTAAAAAATGACAATATTGTTAAAGCTGATTGTGAGTCAAAATTCTCAATTTTTATATCTATCACTCGATCAAGTACTGGGCCAAATAAATGCTTGCGGCTCATCATTAATTTCAGGTCCAATCCTACCACAATATCAGCTATTTCTTGTAAACTCAGCTGAATAGCAGGATTTTTCAAAATCTTTTCAATTTCTTGCGAGAGATTTTCCACATTGAATTTTAAGTTTTTCAATGCTTTATGAATGCTGATTAATTGTGTTTTGTTATAGCAATTTGATTCAATTAGCTCATGTATCCGAAATCTAAGGGATTCGATATTTTCTGTGTTTAGGTATCTTTCTCTTCATCCGGTGGAATTGGATATTAAATTAGCTAAATCAATGACGGCTTGGTAGTCAAGATTTTGGATGTCACTTAAAATCATCTCAATCACATGGTGATATTCTTTGATTATAAAGGTATTTATATCATGCTTGTCGAATCACTTATTAAAAAGCAGAATCCCATAGATCTGCTGGTGGGGCGATCAATGTGTGTCCTTTAAAATGCTGATAAAAGACTCAGGGTTCCTAACCTTTTTTAGCTCGAATTCTATTATCGATCTTTGTTTGGAAAGGCCTGGAGGTAAAATCCCATTTCTGCTTGAGAAAAATCTTATAAGGGCTCTGAGATTCAGCATTTTTATAAATAAAATATTAATTAGTATGAAGTATGATATAGTATTCCAAAAAAGAGTAATTTTTATCGAAGCTGAATTCTTTAAGATATACCCTAAATACAAAAAGTTATAAATATATCATAAGATTATTAAATTTGTCCTTAATTATTTAAATAGTAGTCTTTGAGCGTTGCCCAAGAGCTGCGGTCTCATCAACTCCCCAAGTTTTAATGCACCCATCCTCACTACTTGAAATAATATATTTCCCACATGGTGAAAACGCTAATGACCTAACTGCTGCTGAATGTCCTCTCAGCACTCTGACTTGTCGATTATCCCTCAAATCCCACACAATAATAATCTTATCTCCAGCCCCTGAAATAATAAAATTATCGCAATGTGAAAAAACCAAACTTTCAACTGTATCTGTATGTCCTGCCAGTTTTGAACTTGTTTTTGTTTTAAAAAAATAAAGCCAAATTGCCCTATTTTCCCCTCCCCATGCAATTAAATTACCTGAATGAGAATAAGAAATCGTTTTAATTTCGCCTGGTTCTGATTTTATCTCAGTGCCCATACACCTTTCAGCAATTTTCCATATTTTAACCGTAGAATCCGCACTTCCTGAGGCAATAAAACGACCACTAGGGGAAAATGTGACACATGTGACTTCTTTTAAATGGCCTCTAAAGCTGTGAACAATTAAGCCTTGGGCTATAAATCAGTATTTTACTGTTTTATCATTGCTTCCAGATGCTATAAAATAGCCATCTGGTGAAAAACACACAGATCTGACAGAGCCTTCATGACCTTTGAATGTTTTTATAGATTTTTGATGGAAAGGAGTCCAAAGGATCATGGTGTTGTCGGCACTGGATGATACGACAAAGCTCCCAGTAGGGTGAAATGCTATTGAATTTATCCTTTTTGGGTCGTGCTCTCCATAAGTTGCGACCAGTGTTTGAGTTTTGAAGTTCCAAAGTCGCAAATTTGAGTCTAATCCTGCAGTAGCAAATAGATGTCCAGATGGGGAAAAGGAAACTGCTCTTATTCCTTTTGAGCTTACTTTTATCGGGTTGCAGCATTCATGCAAGCTGCCATAGTCAATAGTATTTTGAGCACTTTTTCAGGCTGATATTACGAGAGAGGGCGAAGCATCTGCAAATTCGGAGGTTTCAGCTGATAAAAGCTCGTCAAGTTTTTTAGCAGCATCGAGGTCTGGCAGGCTTAATATTTCGCGGATTGGACTTAGGGGGATATTTGGGATTTCTGAAATTGAAATTATTTCGCAAATTAGCCCATTTAAATTTTCTAATTCATCATTGATTTTTCTTATTGATTCTTTTAGCCTTGCTTCTATAGCAAATATTTCTTCATGAGCAGTTTTGATCATTTCTTCCTTAGAAGAGATTAGTTTTTCTCTTTTGGTTTGGACTGTTTTAATGAGGTTTTTTGATGCTGATAAATTGATGCTTTTGTATTCGATTACTTTAATAAAGTGAATCTGGCCATTGGGAGCTGGGGTCTGGAGATGAGATGCTATGTGGGATTGGCAAATAAGGGTTTTTTGGTTTTGGCACTCACATCATGCAGCTGGCTTGCCTTGGCATCCCTCGCTATTGCAATACATTAGCTATAATTTAATTATATTTTGTGGAAAACATAAAAGGCTAAAATGTGATAAAATATTTAATTAAAGAAAAATATTAAACTTAAGCTTATTACAGGTTGCGGCTTGCCTATTGGCAACGCAGTTACCAAGGATACTCTAGAGGATTCAGCCATTTTATGATTTCGCAAGGAGAACTCGAATGAGATTATGGTTCGCTGGTAAACAAGGCGGGACACCACCCTTATTCTCCTGCAGCACCTGCTGCCATAGCCATCTGAAGTATAGTTGTGTTTCTCCCTATCCTCCTTGACTTGTAGGTTTCAGTGTTGAGTGGAAGGATATGGACTTCTGAGGCTTGCTGATTGGGTTAATCCACTCAAAACTTTAAAAAAATTGGAACTTCTGGTTAACTCTCGGCAAAAGGAAAAAATTCTATGCCTTAGGGGTAATTCTCAATTTCACTCTATTAAGTTGCCCAATTGGTCTTGATATTGTCTGTATACTATGCTGGGCTTTCCTTTCCAACTCTGAACACTCCTCTTACCACTTAATCGTGAAATTGGCTCTGTGCATTACCAAAAAATTGCTTAATTAGCATTGCTGTCCATTTCTGGGATGGCAAAACCTTGCCGATATAATAAATATGTGCTTGAGGTTGCACTGCCGCGAGAAGATGCCAGGGTTGAGGCACCATATTTATTTATAATCAAAGAAAAATCAATAAAATTGTGAAATATGATTTTAATATGAATACATCCTTGGTAAGTAGATATATTGGTATTTTCAGATATTTATTTATGAATTTTATTTTAAGCTTATTTAATTTAGTTCTAAGCCTATTTCTGTAATTAATTTTTATCTTGTTTTTGAGTATCTATATAAATAAATAAACTAGATAACAGAATAAATTACAGTCTCATTGCACAAACGTCATTTATACCATCATCGTTAATTATCATGTAAATCAAGTTTGGAAATTTAAAATCTAAAATTTCAAAGCATTTGTAGAAATGCTTTTCATAAAACGGCAGCCTTTCTCCTCATAAATAAAAATACATAAAATAAATATATTGGCATTCTGGAGTAAAATGAACCAGATGGACTACAAACATATTATTATCTCCAATAATATTAAATACCTCTCCATTCATTGGAATTTCGTAGTGCATTTGAGAGTCTTCTTCTCCAACAACTAATCTTTCACTTGACATATCGCAAGGAACTGTGAAAAAGCGCTTGTTTACATGAAAAATTTTCCCACTAAACTTTTTCAATATAACGGAAGGGTCTTTATCAAAAAGATAGTTACTATATGGGCTGTGGATGATTATTTTTTGAATTTCTTTATTATACCAAAAATCAATTGGCATATCACCAGGAAAACTAATGAGAAGCTTAACTAATCATGGAGAAACTGCTCAAAGCTGCCTCCCTGACAGACAAACTAGAGTATCTCGAGTTAGCGGCTTTAGCTTTTCAATAGGACTTTCTAGCTTTTGCTTTGTTATTCTTAATTGCTATTATTATGAATATTTTAAGCTAAAATAAAAATATATAAATATATTATTATCTGGTTTATAATTTTCCCAGTAATACTGTCTATAAAAGCAATTTCACTAAATTTATTGGCAATAATCAAATATCTCCCACCTTTTAAATAGAGTAGTTTGGTCGAAGCAAGGCTATTCCAGCTTCCTAAATTATTCTCAACTCTAATAATTCCATTATCTAACTCCCCCCTTAGCGCCGAAGAAAATATTTAAATATAAATTTTATATATATTTTTTTTTTCAAAATTTAAAACATCTTAATTAGAAAAGCAAATATCTATTTGATCACAAATTTATTTTTTAAAATGCAAGGCGTTTAAAATTATATAGGGATTGCATTATAATTATCACTTATATATCAAAATTTTTTCTATTAAAAAATTTTTGTTCGTTCACGGAGAGTGGTGGGCTTTTTCCAAAAATAGGGATTTTTCCAGTGGTTTTGTCTGCTCATGGAGGGGGTGTAAATAAAATACCAGCTTGCTATTTGTGTATAAAACTGCTAGATTATTGTTTTCATAAGCACTTAAATAAGCAGAATCCTCTTTATTCCCAACTTTTATGCTTTTTGTTTTGTCGGATTCTGGAATTCATGTAATGAAATTATCGTGCTGAAAAAGAATGATTTTTAGAGGGTCAAATGAGATTTTGAGAGGGTAGTTATTTTTGTGAAGCCATATGCTTTTAATAGGCAAATCAAGATTTTCAGTCTCTAGGTATTTTATTTTGGTCAGTTTCCATCGGATCCAAGGGTTTAAATTTCCACTGCTTTCTAAACCAGGGAAAATTTTGTCAGTAATATTGCTATTTCAAAACTTATTTAAGTGCTTGTTTACGCTTAAAATTGCAACTATTTCATGTGGTTTCAAAAATTCAGCAATTTCATTTAGAAGATTATAGTTCAAGGTTTCGAATAAGCTTCTTGACGTCATTATTATAAATATAATGATATAGAATAATTAATTTATGAGACTCCTAATTCTGAAAAACAGAATATGAATATATCCATATTTATCTCGAGCTGAAAATATGTTAATATCCTCAATTCTATGTTTACACTCTTGCTCTTTCTCTGTTTGGAATTTATTAGGCTTTTTGCTAATGCATGGTTCAAGAAGCTGACGAAAAGCCGCACTTTTTCATCAAAATGGTCTTTAAAACTGAAGGATGTCCCCTTATTTTATTAGAGCATGGACAATGAGAGACTAAGATAAATATGAAATATATATTAAAAATATATAAGGAAACTAAAACTTATAATACCAACTAATAAAGTCTCGCAGCATAGATATCAGAAACATCACATTTATTAGGTATCTTAAATATAACATATGGATACTGACTTCTAAAAAATCGCTTATTGAGAAGTTTTTTATAAAAAGGAAGCCTTTCTTATCATGTAGAAATATACAATATTCGCGAGCTCACTATCATAACTACAATAAAGGTGATATAAAAGCTAATTTTTGTCCGCTTAATACCCCTCCTGCCATTGGGATTTCATTCTGTATACGAAATTTCACTTCACAAATTATAAAATTTGATTCAGGCATAATCCAAGATACTGTTAAAAAGAGCCTACTCACTAAAAAGATTTTCCATTAATTTCTTCACTAAAACTGAAGGGTTTTCCTATTTGCTTTTGATATAGACGATGAGCAATTATTTTTGGGTTTTCTTGGTCAAACCAAAAGTTCTCTAGTAAATATTTATGGAATTTAACGAGATGTAAATAATCGTGGTGAAATTTTATAGAGATGTCTGCCTATATACCCTTAGATAAACGAATATGAATTCTTTTTATTAAGTTGATAAATTTGCTAGCTTAACTAGTAGCATTTTATAATAATTTTTCTTACATAAAAATTGCGGATTCTATTAGAATTATAAAGTAGTTATATATAAGAAACTAAAGTTAATAATAGTAAAGCATTTAGCAATTAAAGCCTCTTTGCATAGAAATCATTCACTCCATCTTTATTTGGTATCATATAAACTATATATGGGAATTTGACTTCTAAAATTTCAATGTGCTTAAAAAAATATTTTTCATAAAATGGAAGCCTCTCTCCTCATATGTAGAAATACAGAACATGAATAAGTCCATATCCAGGATAAAAATAATCAGAAAGATGAACTAAAAATATATTGCTATCTCCAATGATACTTGATACTTTTCCGCACTTCGGGACTTCATACTTCATATAAGACGTTTCTTCAGTTATTAGAAAATTTCTTTCAAGTTTTGAAGGCGCTGTTAAAAGGAGTCCATTCGCAAATCATGCTTTTTCATCAAAATTTACTATCATGACTGAAGGGTCCTTTTTGAATTCACCATAATATGGGGTATGAACGATTATTTTTCCAAGTTTATCAGAGTCGTTATAGAAAATTCAAAAGGCTGAAATTTCTGGCCAGCTGATGAAGAAATGAAAACTCACAGTCTAGGATGCAACATCTGGCATTGTACTATATATATGTTTCTACTGGAAAATAAAATCATCCCTCTGGCATGTTGGGAATCCTTTCCAGCTTAATGTCCCATTTTCCCACTATAAATTCATGCCCAGGACTGAACTTTGGTTCATCACCATCTCCGATACACTTTCGCCTGTGAAACCTAGCATATACACACATCGAATTGATATATAATAGTATCATCAATAATGCTTTTAGCTTATCTAAACCAAAATTACAATAGCTGCGAATGCATGAATAACTCTAAGCTAATAATTAATCATGGAGAAAGTTTATAAATTTTCTTTCCTGAATGATAAACTACTGCATCATCAGAAGTTAGTTTAATCTTACTAATAGCTTTATCTAGCTTATGCATTGCTATTCCTTAATCTTACAGGTGGATATCTTAATAATTGATATTTTCCACATTTCAAGAGTTGCATTTTGCTAACTTCATGATTTTTAATTTTATTCAAACTTATTTCATTTCTTACAGTTCCGTCATCTGAGTAAAAAACAATTTTGTTATTTTTATATAAAACAGCTAAATTGTTTCCTTCATATGAACTCAAGCGATAATCATTTTGATATGAAATCTTGATGAACTTTATTTCATCAGATTCTGGAAGTCATATAATAAAATCGTTTTCGCTGAAAAGAACTATTTTTAAAGGATCATATATAAGGTGTAGAGAGGAGAATTGCATCTAATTCGAAAATGCTTTACGGACCAATGGAGATTTTCTGATTCAAGGTATCTAATTTTGGCCAATCTCCATAAGTCTTGGAGATTCATATCTGAACTGATTTGAAAACCTGGGAAAATTTTATTGCATTCCTTCTGCCAAAACTATTTTATGATTTTATAAGAAGAATTTTAAATTAGTTTTTATCTAGTCTTTGATATTTGTAATTAAATTAAAAAAAAATTATGCCTAATCTTAAATGTCTATTAATAAAACATAGAGAGTTAGCGATTTTGGTATTTCAATACTTATTGAAATGCTTGTTTATGCTAAAAAGCCTTACAATTTCGTGTGGCTTTAAAAATCCAGCAATTTCATTGAGGAGATTATGGTTGAGGGTATCAACTAGGTTTCCCGATGACATATACAAGACTTAAATAATTGTAGAAATTGAGGAAATTATGGAATATAAACCCTATAAAAATTTTTAAATATCAAAGAAATTAATTAATAAACTTAAATAATTACACCTTCATTACTTTTAATTTTCCTATTCCATCATCGCAAGTCACCATATGTTATGCATTTGCATGATTATTGGAGGCTTCTACAAGTCGGGACATTTTTCCCACGAGTGGAAACCAAATCCCACATGCAGAATTTCCACATTTTGAGTGGCTCCATATATAGGATTTGAGTTCCACACGCGGGAAATGTCCCGACGTGTGAAGACTCTCCCACAATAATGTCAGCGCATTATAAATTAGATAAGGAAATTGGAAATCTAATATTTCAAAACTTTCATGTATTTTTAAGGCATAAAGTGGCTCCCTCTCCTTTCATATAAAAAAATATAAAATAGTGTTTCTTTTCATATCTATAAAATGGGCTACAATTAAATTTTTATCTACTAAGCTAAAGCTAGTCTTTATCCTATGCCACCAGTGAGGGCTATCTCCACGGGATTTCTAACCACATGATGCTTCTCGCCAGAGCTTAATCTCCACTGCACTGTCTCCTTGAGTTTTGAATCATTAACTTTTTCCTTTCCACTCTCGGACTAACCAACTTGGATCTATTAGGCACTCTAAAATCCCAGCCTTAACGATCTAAATTTTGGCATCCAAAGCTGTACATTGAGGGCTAAATTCCCTGTCACACCAGGTAAAATTTGTTAGGGAAAGTCACCTTAATTGAAATGTGCAAAAAAGAGCTTTTGTTTGAGAGAGTCGCCATATTTTGATCATAAATTTCTATCTCCCACTATTTGAAAAATTTTTCCTTTCATATCAATTTCATACATATCCTCGGTTTCTTGGTCAATTATAACAGTACTCTCAATGCCATGCTGCGCTTGTAATCACATAAGATAGTGCTCATTTACTAACCCCTCCGTGAGCAAACAAAACAATTAGAAAAATCCCAATTTTTCCCCAAAAGCCCGCCTTACAAAAATTTTTTATGAAAAAAAAATTTATATATAAGTGATAATTGTTATAATAAAATTTCTAGCTAATTCTGTTTAATTTTAAGCAGGTTGCATTTTAAAACACAATTTTACAATTAAATAAATATTTGCTTTCTAATTTTGCAGATTGAGATTTTTTTAAATTCGAAACAAAAATTAGTATAAAATTCATATATAATTTTTTACAAAAAAACATTAACCCCCCTCCGTCCACGGAGGGGGGAGTAAGAAAATCAACCCTCCAAAAGATTTAACTTCTACTTGTGGATTCTTATATCCAAACTGAAAATCAGTTGTACTATGAGCAATTATTTTGCTGTTTTTCTTATCTACCCAAAAATCTGGAATCCGCCTATAATCATTTCACTCTAAAAGCAATTTTACTTTATGGGGAGATATAGCTAATAATTGGCTTCTGACAAGACCTATGAATATGTCAGAATTTACTATTTTATATTTAGCAAGAAACCCAATTGTCCTTTTTGACACAGTTTCTCCTAAATTATTCATAAATATTATTTCACTAGAGGTTGAGACAAGAGCCAAATAATTTCCTTTTTCCAAATAAAATATTTTAGATATACTAATTGACCAAGAATAGCCCACTAAGGAGCCATTCTTGGTCTGCCAGAAAAAATTTTGACAAAAGATCCTAATCTGCCATTACCACTGAGTTTTGGTGTTTCCAAATTTTTTGGGCAAGCCAAATGCAATAAAAAAAAATTGTTCTTTTGCGATGATGCATTTGGCTTGTCAAAAAAATTTTGGCAACACCAAAACTCAGTGGTAATTGCAGATTAGGATCGTTTGTCATTACCACTGAATTTTGATATTGCCAAATTTTTTTGACAAGCCAAATGCATCATCGCAAAAGAACAATTTTTTTTATTGCATTTGGCTTGCCCAAAAAATTTGGAAACACCAAAACTCAGTGGTAATGGCAGATTAGGATCTTTTGTCAAAATTTTTTCTGGCAGACCAAGAATGGCTCCTTAGTGGGCTATTCTTGGTCAATTAGTATATATATAAATAGCAAATATCAAGCTCTCGTTTAATTTCCCCACTTTCTGTATAAAAAACTAGCTTATTGTTTGTGTAAATAATCGCTAATTGATCATTTTCATATGCAATTAAGTGAATAGAAAAATTTTCATGTAAAATTGGTATAATTTTTATTTCGTTAGTTTCAGGGAATCATAATGATAAGGACATATCTCTTAAAGCGATAATTTTTAATGGGTCAAATGTGATTGAAAGAGGATAAATTCGTTTGCTTGAAGCGATTGATTTTGTTGATGACTCCCCCCTTTTTAAAAATCTGTTCCAATGAAGGGGATATAAAATTATTTATAATTAAAAAAAGTTAATTTTATTTAAATAGAATTCAACTATATTTCCCTTCTAAAATGGAACTAGTTATAGGCAATTTTTTAATAAATTAAATATTATCAAAGCTATTTCTTTATATATACTATTATTTTACCTATAAAACTTGCTTTATTATTTTTGCTGGTTAATTTTCTAAAAAATGGAAATTTTGTCAATATTTTTTCCCAATATAAGCGGAAGGAGTGAGGCAAACTTAGGAGCAAAATATTTAATTTTTCCCAGTCTTCATCTGTCTCGAGGTTTCAGACCAGTGCTAAAGTTTATATGAGGGAAAATTTTTTCAGCGACCCTGAAGTTCCAAAATTTATTAAAGTATTTATTTATGCTCAAAACTGTGACTATTTCTTGAGGTTCCAAAAAATCAGCGATTTCATTGAAGAGGTTGTAACTTAAAGCTGACAATCTGAAGAAGCCTGATGCCATTTATAGTTATTAAATAAACAACTTTATAATAAGAGTTTATAAATTTATTATATCGATATCCATATCAATCTTATATTAATGCCTCAAAATTACAAGGATTTATTGGCTAAATAAAATAAAAAATTTTTTTTAAATCGTTAAAACAAAATATTATTTTTGTGTAACTCCAATTTATAACAAAGCCTAATTCAAGGAATTCGATCTTCATTGTTGATTTTTTAAAATTATATTATTAATGCTTAAACTACTATTATTTTTGTACTGAAAAATTCATTATTAAAGGATTGAAGCTTAATTCTTTAATCTTAAAATCTTTGCTCAATTTAATATGCATTCTCTATGCTCAATTATCAATTGAAATAAGAGAATTATTAGACTTAAAAATATTTCCACATTAAATTGAATTTAAATATCTTACTCTCCCCCCCTCCGTGAGTGAACAAAAAACTTTTGTTCACTCACGGAGGGGTTATTTTTTTTTTTAAAAAAATTATATATAAATTTTATAAAAAATATTTTTTTTTGAAATTAAAAAAAATCCTAATTCGCAAAAAATTGGAAAGCAAATAATAATTTAATTTATAAAATTTATGTTTTAAAAAGCAATTTTTTAAAATTAAACAGATTTCATTATACTAATTATCACTTATATATCAAAATTTTTTTCCATAAAACATTTTTGTTTCACTCACTGGAGAGTGGATTTTTGGGCAAAAAATAGCGATTTTTCTAATGTTTTTGTTCACTCACGGAGGGGGAGTCAGATTTTAGATTACTTAATTTAACTCCACCTCTAGTTGAGCCTCTGACTGCGCAGGATAAATAAGGTCTATTTTCTTCATTTTTTCGCTACCCCTGAATGTGCGTACGGCCTGTCGACAGGATCACTCCTTCTAGATTCCTTGAAGCCATTTGAGAACTCAGAACTTCTGGACAAAAAGCTGCTCAGCTTAAAGCCTCACTCTAGCACCTTCTCGGTCTAAGAGTCCTACCTTTATCGGATAGTGGAAAGAGGTAAACCACGATGCCTGTAGGATGCGAAGTAAGCAAACCTTCTCAATTTCTTCCCTATCAGACAGAAGTGCAATTGTAAAAATCTAGCCCCATAATAATATAAGTTGGGTGAGGCAGAGGAATTTCACGGAGTGAATTCTCCTCTCATTCTAAGCCAATTTATTTTTTTTACTCCCCCTTTAAACTGGAAAAAAAATATCGGTAAAAATTTCCATTTTTGGGGTGCTTTAGCCCTCCTTTAAATTTGAAAAAAATGTTTTTTCAATAGTGAAAATTTTATAAAATCAATTTTGCCCTAATCTAATAGAAAAAATGCAATAAGAATATTATTTAAACAGTTTTTACACTAAATCGATTATTTTTTAAATTAATTCTTCATAACCAAAAAAATAAATTAAAATTCAATATTAAAATTATTTTTAAAATTTTAATAAAATATTGTTTTATCGATAAAATTTAACATACAGCTTCTTTTTAAATCCCTTTAAATTCAAACAGGATTTTTTGCCCCAATTTAAAGTAGGGAGCTAGAATTTAAATATCACATGGCTATTTTCTCTATAGTATCTAAAAGTATTTTTAATAACTGAGACTGTTCTTATATGGAGAGATGACTTACTATAAATTATTTATAATTTTTAAAATTTATCTAATTTTTTCCCTACAACTTCATAACATGAATTTCCTCAATCATTATATCAGAAGTATACGAATAAATGACATAAGGAAACTCAAATCCTAAAACATTTATATTCTTATCAAAATCTTTTGTAAAAATTGGCGATCCATCTTCTCATAAATAAAATAAAAGACTTGTTTGCCTATTCTCTCAGTGGTTTACTGCTACAAGTATCATTCTTTTGTCGCCAAATATGCTAGCAACTTCCCTAGCAGCTTTAAATCGATATTTTTTATTAGTTTTTTCATCAACGACTGAGACACAACTTCTATTGTTAATCTTTTGGAAAAACAAACGCCTCTCAATATCTGCATAATATTTTCCTTTTTTTGCAATTTGAATTGATTTATGCTGAAATTGAGTCTCTACATTTTTCGAAATTCCTATTATTATTTTTTGACTTTCTTTATTTATAAAAATATTTGGGCTAACTATATCTTTGAAGACACAAAGTTTTTGGACTTTATTTGGGGATATAGCAATGACTTCATTATATACACACGCAATAAAGATATCATTTTTTATTACTTTATATTCAGAAATAGTACCTATTTTTCGATTTGAAATAATTTCGCATTGATTATTCATAAAAACGACTCATCCTGAATTGAGAAATAATACTAAATACTCAGCATTATTCAAATAAAACATTTTCAGCACATTTAAATAATTTATTTCAAAATTCTCAATATTAAGCAATATTTCACTATTTAATAAACATCTCAGCATATTATTGGTATATAGAATGCATAAATTAGATTAGATTAGATTAACGCTAGGTATTTAAGGTCCCCACTACGTCCGAGGAAGCATGCTACGGTTTCCCGCATGGTGGCAGAGCGTTCACCAAGCCCGGGCCGAAACCCCGGTTTCTCGGTAGAGGCAATGTCAAGGGCCGTCTTATACCGGCTTTGCTGACCGCCTCCATTTCCAACTTGGATCGTCGCCTAAGTTTACGCCAACTCCGCTGCGTCGTCCGCCAGATCTGCCCATTGAAGGGCACCTTTTAAACTGGAGAGATCCCCATTTAGTTGTCTAACTCGCCTTCCCCTCTTTTCCAGTCATCCCGAGAAAGAACTCAACAGCTTTCGCCATTTGGGGCGAGCCACAAAAGCAGCTTAGGCAGGTAAGTCGCCCTGCCTCATTTCGGGCACTCACTGGGCTGAGCGCTGCTGGCAAAAAGGAGTCACAAAAACAGCGGCTTTTGCGCTTAGGCCTCTCGCTTCGAGGTCCCAGACGTTGTTGGGCTAACTCTTGGCTCCAAAAACCATGCCCGGATATACATGGGTAACCACCACTGAGAGGGTGGGTCGGTCGCCGTCCGCCATTTTATGTATATGGTATATAGAATGCATAAATGGCCATTGTGATAAGCCAGAGAATGAACTGAGAAATTCGTTTCATAAATAAAATGGCATTCGGTTCGAGAGAAATTAGCTCTGCTAATTTTCTCTCCCTCATGGAATTTTATTTATGGGGTTAGGTTTTCACTCGAGAACTTCTGGACAGCAATAGTGGTTTAACTCTGGGGATAACCAGAGGAACTGCTCCTCAGTCCTCTCAAGATTTCGGGCTTTTACCTCTCAGCACATCTCCACGGGAAGATGACCCTTAGGCGGAACACGCGCAGGAGCTGAGTCGAGACAAGGGCGACGGCATCGCGCCGGGTGAGACGTGCAGCAAGGCTGGTGAAGCAGGAGTTGATAGAAGGCTTGGCCAGGGCTGACCTGTTCCAAGATGGCTCGCCTACGTCACTAGTTTTGCCATAGGTCCATTTTGGGCTGTGGCACTAGACACCTTAACCACCAGATAATTAAGTAAGTAAGAGAAATTCGTTTCAAGATTTTTGATAATTTTGTATCTATTGTTTTTATATGGTTTTCATTTTGATAAATTTTTATCTAAAAATAAGGTCAAAACCAAAGGGCTATAAGATATATCGAGAACATAAATCATTTTCAAGGAACCAATTCTTTGAATTTCAGGATAATTTTTACGCTCAGATAAATATTTGATTTGCAAAAGAAGCCATGATTCTCTAACAGTTAGATTGAAATAGGGTGGGTTTAGGATTGTTTTATAGGCGAGTTTGGAGGTCCAAAAAGAGTGGAGGCGTTTGCAGACTCCAAGGAGAGAGACTATATCAAGGGGTAGAAGATATTCAGAAATTTCTGTAAGCAGATTTAAGCTCAAACATTGAAGACTAGCTTTTTGTTCTGATGCCATCTTAAAAATTATACTATGCAAGTTTAAGTGTAGGTAATATAAATAAATTAATAAAATTGATTATATGACAAAGAATGGTATAATTATTTTAGTGTTAAAAATATGCAATGGATCATTAATTCTTATTTACTTAAACAGAAAGAAATATATATTAGGATAAAGCTTCAATTTGATGCCTTATGATCTCATTTTATCTAGATATATTACTAACACAACGCATGAAAATTTCTCTCAAAATTATATTTTCAGCGAGCTATTTATAGAAAAATACATTAGATTCGCAAAATTTAAAGAAAAGTAGAATTTTATTTGATAATTTACAATCATATTGCTTAGAATTTTCTTTTAATGTGAAATAAATTGGGTACATGGCAATTCCACATAAGATAATTATGAAAATTTTACTATTTATCATAATCAGCATAGCTTTTGCTCAAATAGACCAAGAAGAGCAAATCCCAAAGCATGAACACAGTACTGATGAGCAGCAAGAACTTGAAAACTCAGCGCTAAATAAAGAAGAAATATATCAAGCCCCAAATAATCCAATTAATGATGAAAAATTTGTGCCAGCAGACCCTCCAGCTCAAAATCCTGCCCCAAAGGATGAAGCTGCTAAAGAGCCTTTTAGAGGAATTCCTTTAAATACTATCCTAATTGCCTAAACCTAAAATGATTTTTCTGTCATTTTTCCATATTTTAAAAATTAAACTGCTTTTAATAAAAAATAAAACGCTTCTATACCCTATCTAAAGCATATAACCAAAGAAGACTTATTAAGAGAAAACGACCCTGATTACAAGCATCACGAAGTTAACCCTGATGACCCTACATATGATCTTGCCAAAGAATGGGAAGAGCACATGAAAGACTTCGTCCCTGACGAAATGATCACTTTTGAAATGGTCCCACGTGGCGAAGACGAATTTTACGCTGATATAACTATTTCACCTTCACACGTACGTGGAGCTTGGTTTATCTCAAGTAAAGAAACTACTGATATTGACTTTTTTGTTGTCGACCCCAGGGACAGAGTCCTTATTGAGCTCAGAAAAAGGAAAGAAGCTGTTTTTTGGTTTGATGCTATGTATAAAGGCCAGTATTTCCTGAGGTTCAAAAATTACAGCTTATTGCAAAAACATTATGTGACGCTAGCTCTGCATACTGGGAACTCAACCGAAGAAATTCTTTTAAATCAGCACTTAGAGCCTGTAGAGCAATATTTAGTGAAAATCCAAAAAGGAGTAAAGGATTTTCAGGTTGATAATCAATTCGCGACGCTAAGAATGGAGTCTCATTATAGGACTGTGGCGAGTGCTAATGATAATTTGTTCTGGTTCAGCATTTTAGAGAGCTTTGGGGTGGCTGTGGTTACTTTTTGGCAAATGTTTTATATAAAGAAATTGCTGGAAAACAGAAGAATGCTTTAGGTAATAATGAATAACATATTTATTAGTCTATAAATTATTTTTCTTTTAGTTTGTATTCTTTAACCCATGGCACGTGGTTAAGTATGATCTTATTAACTTGTTTATCCCCAATGCTAAACAGCAATTTAGCTTTTTGTATTGAAAGGTTCCGCTTTTTCTCTGAAACTCGGTTTCTTTTAGAGTGGACTATAAATTCTAGCAAAAAATCTTTAAGTTTTGCGAATTTTTCTGAGGAAATAATTCTTTTCATTTGCTTTGTCGGTAAGTTATTGATAAGTCAGTTAAGGACTGTAGGAAGTTTGCAAGTGATAAGGGCAAGCTTAAATAGGTTGAGCCTTTCCCGTTTAATAAGTTCCATTAGTTCAGGCTTGGCAAGGTCTTTTAGAAGAGCTTCTGCATCTTCGTAGTTTTCTTCTCTGAGGGATTTTGTGAATTCTTTGGAAAGATGAGAAAAATAGGCTTCTCGCTTGGTTTCAGCAGATTGGTTTTGCTTGTCATTTTCTTCTTTTTCTTCCTTTTTATCGCTTCCTTTACGATATTTCATTTTGATTTATAGGGGGCTTATTAAAATAGAAATAATAGAAATTTGTTTAAAAATCGGACTATTTTTGCAAACCAGTTCCTTTATTGTTTATATGGAGCACTTATCTCCAATTTTTTAAAATTTTACATGAATTTTAGGACTATATTATGTTAAAATATTATATTTATTAATATTAACTATTATATGATAAATTCTTGATTTTATTACCAGACTTATCCCAAACAAAGAAGCATATTGTGAAGGAATGATAATAGAAATTTAGTAAAGTCATGTCTTATGAAGCTATTAGAAAGAGTAAATGCCATTCGATTAGAGAATTTTCCTCGTTTGACATTTCATAGCGGATTTTTGGTCAAAATTTGTGTTTCCTCATGAGACATATGATCGAATCTATGCAGTTTTTCCAAAATATAACAAGAAAAGAGCTCGAAGAAATCCATAAAATGCCACACAAGGAATATTTTCCAATCAGATGATATTAACGGATTAGAAAGAATATGCATTAAAATTATTGCTAATTTGTCAACAGAATATGGCAGCTGCTTTAAGTGTGATAAGCAAATAATAATCTTTGGTGTCCTAAACCTTCAATACTCCATATTATCATATAAGAACAAATTAAGCTAATTTTTTATTATTTTAATTGGAGCTAGACAAATTTAAATTCACATCTCAAGTAATTAATAAAAAGGGAAGTTAAAATTATAATCTAATTAAAATATAAGCAAATCCTTAGAGCATAGCATTATTCTATCTAAATCTTTAATAAACGTAATAAAATTTATATTAATAGACTATTATTCATTTATATAATTTTGGAAATTTATTGTTAAAAATGCCATAAAGTTTGATATTTTAAAAAAATTGATTTATAATAAAATTATGCATATTAGGCTATCACATAAGATTATAGATTAGAATATATCACTTTAAAAACCCCAACTTTTGAATAATTTACTTCCAAAACATTTTTTTATTCCGTTTTTAATTATCGTTTTTAGAACAAAGAAAATGGGTTGCTGCTGCTCCAAACGGTCAGATCCCACCTGTGAAGAGGATCAGGTTGCCATTTCTACTAAATCTTTAAAGTCAGAAATCGAGTTCAAAATAATTGCTCCAGAAACATCTAATATAGGGCGAAAATCGAAACTGTCGCCAAGAACACCAAAGCGACATTATAAAGCTTGATCATCAAGCCCTTCACCGCCAAAGAGCCCATTCTTATCAAAAAACATGAAATTATCCTCAACAAAAACTCCTGATACTAACTCTTCAGGTGACTTATTTAATGAAGGCTTCTCACATGCATTTTTGAAAATCCTTATTAAAGATAATTTCTCAGTCGTCAGAAAGCTACATTCTGAGAAAAATGGAAAAACTTTTTTGGCAAAAGATCGAAAAACTGGGCTTAAAAGGGTTATTAGAGAAGTTGAAAAAGCTTCAATACCTATAGATTAGATTAGAATTAAATTATAGCTGGTTTTCAGAGATTATTTCACCTCCCACCATCCCAAGGATAGATTCACGTTGGTTCTGGGTTACATTAAACTAAAAAAAGACCTCGACCTCGACAGGGCTCCTAATATGGGTGAGCTGTCTTTGCCTCCTCCATGGTGAGCCGTATCACAGTCTTAGAAAAGCTCCATTGAGAGCTGAAGGATATTGTGCCAGCAGACACGTCTGCAAGCTAGGCAAAATAGTTTGAGGGCTAGACCCTGGACAAAAAGCCCACCCGAGAACTATCATCACGTGGTTCCTCTTCTCTGGGTCTGGATCAACACCAGAGTCCTCGTAAGATCACACTATTTTAATAATTCCTCAGAACCTATAGAAGCTCAAGAAAAATATATAATGGAAATTCAAAAATTCCAATGTCTTGTAACTCTATCCTAGAGTAAGCAAAGTTTTTTTTGTTGATGATTTATTAGAAGATGTTTTGGAGGCTTCAATTTTAAAAAATTTAGAGGCAAAATATTTAATGAATTAAATTTATGTTCTATCATAAATTTTGCAAATTTAATTAATTTTTTCCTTCCAATTTTTGTGAAGTATGAATTTCTTAAAATTTGAAAAAAAAAATTTATAGCTCATCTATGAGCGAGCAAAATTTATTGTTCACTCATGAAGGTGAGATTTAATTACTTACTAAATCTTAATTTTTTAAAAATCAGGATTTCTTTAGTATCTTAATGACTCTCGGAAAGATAAGAATAATTTAGGATCACCCAAACGTTATCAAGCTTCACGAAGTCTATGAATCAGAAGAAAATTGATCTTTAATTTATGAGTTCTTTCCTGGAAATAATTTACTTCATAAGATTCATAATGGAAATATTGGGAGCTCTATGGCTTGCAATATAATAAAAGATATTTTATGCGGTTTACATTATTTTCATAAGAACAGAATTTTTCATTTAGGGTTAAACCTTGAAAACATTTATATAGACTCAAGAGATGTGAAAACTAATTGCAAAATAATTGGTTTAAATTATCCTTGAGAACCAGAAGACCAAATTAAAATAAATGGGGTGGTAAATTACATATAGACTTGCTATATGGCTCCTGAAATACTCAGTCGGGTTTATGATAATCCTGCTAGTGATATTTGAAGTGTTGGAGTTATTTTATATTTAATGATCCAAGGAAAGCCTCCGTTTCGAGGGCAAAGCAAGAATGATCTCCTAAACAGCTATAAAAGAGGCCTTGATTTTGAAGAAAATAATTGAATTTTAGCTGCAGGAGAACTGAAAGATTTGCTTAGTAAATAGCTCATCTTAAAGATCTAATTTAAAGTTTTTTTTAAAGCAATATTTTATTTTTAAAATTAAAAAAATAAAATGAGAGAGATAGAAAAAATGCTTGAATTTGACTTCAATAAAAGGATAACTATTGACATCGCCTTGAATCATCCATGAATCAAAAATAATCAATCTTTACTTACAATGCCTGATGGCACTCAGCTTAAAGCTGATTTTAGCAATTAAATTGCATTTCAGATTAATTTTATTCTGTATAAAAAGCATCTTAGATTTTGATGCATTATGTTTAATAAAAATTATACATTTAAATTTTATAAATATATTTTGTATTGGCTGTTATAGAAAAATAACTTGATTTTAAAATATAATTAATAACTTCGCTGCGATATTATAATTTTTAGGAAAACTCCCTTGTGCATTCTTTTTGAATAAATTCAGAAAAATTATATAGTGAGTTAGGATCAGAAGTTCCATGCTGTTCACTCTATGTTACTATATTATTTACAGCTCTTTAGATAAAAGTTTTATATCTATCCGCATTGATTTTTTTTTCAGCTCAACCTTTACTAAAATATAGTATAATTAAATAAGAGACTTAAATGCTTGGAATGTATATATGAAAATAATTATTAGACTTTAATTCATCCTTTTCCATAATAAAAATAAACTCTACAGTGCTCTAATATGCACTAATTATTGTTATGGTATTTCCTCTGAAGGTTATCAAGATGTCTAAAAATAATGAGAGATTTATCTAAATTTCATCAATGCTCCTGAATGCCAGTCTAGATGAAAGGCAATGCTTTACCCAAATAATTAGTTTCAGTAAAATTATTCTGAGGGTATATAATCCATAACCCGCAACTGAATAAATGCAAAACATATAGCCTTTAAGCCAAAAGCATTTATTGTCATCTTTAGGTCATATTTAAAAACTCTTCAAGAAATTTTCTATCAAGCATCTTCAGAAGAGGATAAAATCTTAAATAAGGCAATCTGCCATTCACAAGTATTAATTTTGCTAGCTCTTCAGTATAGTATTAAATTTTAGAATATTTTCTATTGCCTTATGTCACTTTTGCAACCTTATAAAAATTTAGCAAATAAAATTTTAGAATTTTCATATATACACCCGCATTCACTTTAATCAGCTCTTAATGAAATATAATTTATTTAAAATAATTTTGCATCAATTTTGGATGCTCAGAATATAAAATAGGAAATATGTAATAGACTTAATTAATCTTTTTCTATTTCTTAAATAAACTCTGCAATCCACTAATATACGCAATATGCGCTATTATTTCAATTGCATTTCTAATAAAAATGATCGAGATTCTAATATATAAATTAAGGTGACTTGAGATTTATCTATAACAAATACGCTATCTATAAATTCCTAAATGCCTGCCTGATGAGCGACTCTATTGCATCCACGAGGATACTTGATATCAAATTTCTGGAAGAATTCTACATAATGCACACTTATGATTTATAAACATAATAAGCATAATTTTGGTTTAAATGCTATATTTTGCATAATTTTAATTAAGTTTGGCTTATAGGGTGTTTAACTGTTTATCCAAAGTGTAATTTCCCCTCTAGATAGCTATTTTTCGAAAATAAAATTTTGAAGTCAAAATCTCCTTAATGTTAAATAAATAATGGATCAGATATTTATTTTTTCCATTATCTTTAAGCCATTCTTAGCGCCTTCCAGATTGAATTTTATGGCTTACCTCAGCTGAAATATTAAAGAAGAAGCCTTAATATTAAATAATTTGATCCCTCTTTACAAACCCTATACTAGAAATGCCTTGCTTCCTTTTTGCTGATTTTTTATTTATTTTTGTATTAGAGTTTTAATTCATTAATAACTTTTTTATATAGAAGAAAGCATATGCAGCTATGAATAATATAGATATATATAGTGTTTTAAATATCATTATGGATTGCATATATTTTTGATTCTTAAATTTCATTTTATATTTTAAGAGAAATCATATTAAGAAATTCTGACATATTTTTCAGTATTGAGGTTTCAAAATATGTCGGATTCCAAAAAACTTGAGAAAAAAAAATTTAAATATCTTTATTTTAATTGTTTATGCTTTTATTTTTATAAATTTGCATGATATTTATGCTATTCAAAGAATTTAATTTTATAATATACACTTTGCTTATTTTTTTGGAATATGAGTAAATAACCTCATCTTAATGCACCATATTCTGCGAGATATAAGCTTTTGGAAAGTCTATGCCATGGCACTATCGCATCATAATAAATCTTATTTACTATCATTAGGGCGCTAATAGTTCTCAATTGATAGACTCATTAGACCAAATTCTCACATTGGGAAAATAATTAAACAATTTACTTAGTTAAAAAATGAACAAAAAGGCTAAAATATCGAAAAATTTTTCTGATATCGGATTTATGAAGAAACTATTTTTTTTAACAATGTTCAATTTATGTTCTTCAGTTGAAATTATTATTGCTAAAAATGATAGGAATGAGCTCAATCAAGTTTGGATTGAAGAAGCAAAATATCAGTTTGAATCAGTCGTCGAGTGGTATCAGTGCGATTATTCTTTAATTTCAGAGTGTGTTAACTCACATCCTAATGCCATAATCGTTCTTGATTTATCAAACAGTTTTGAAACGCAACTGAGCCTTTCTCAATTATGCAAAGAAAATAATAAAGTTCATTTGGTTCCTCAGAAAAATCAAGAATCTCTTTACGACGAATGGACATATGACATCCTTCCATCAAACTTAGCCCAAACCGATGCGTATTTTGCAACTTTAGCTCATTTTAATTGAACTCATGGACTTGTAATCACTGATGGAGATCATGCATACATCAAGCCGAAATTTCTAGAGTATTCAGAAACTTTTGATTATATAACTATAGAATCATTGGCAAGCCTTGAAAAAGTAGTAAACAGAATTATCAAGCCTTTAGGAGCAACATTGTATTACATTTTTACAAATTCTGTTCTCTCATCAAAAATTCAGGAGACGTTGAAATCCAAAAAACTCCTTTCAAAAGGAGATGGGATAATGCTAACCCAAAATAGCTGCTATGACTGCAAAACTAATGGAGCAATCATTGTGACTGTTGCAGGACAAGAATATGCTAGCTCTCAAGAAGAATTTTTAATTAGTTCTTTTGAAAATTTAATTCTGTATGTATTGAATCAAACAGCAGAAACAACAGAAGAGCTAAAGCATTTGCTGAAGATATATAGCCAGAAAAATAAATTCTCGATTGTAAATATTCAAGACAATCAAAGGCAAATAGTTGGAACAGTTTCTGCTGGATCAGTAAAAATTTCGAAAACCTTGATTTTTCCTGGAAATACTACTGATGTGCCCAAGCCAGATAAAAAGGTTTTGCATATGACAGTTTCTGGAGGCTCTTACAATCCTGGAGCTCCTCCTGTTACATTCGCTCCTCTTTTCTATTATGGCGCTTATACAGCATGAAGTTTAATTAATGAAGGTGTGCTTGGAATTTTAACACATTTTCGGATAAATTATTTTATTTTTGACTGCGGCGTGGTTACTTATGATAAAGAATTGACACCAGCTTGCTTTACCAAAGATATAGATAAATTTGGACTTGCACATATATCGGCGCCTAGCTCTTTAGTGACTATTGCAGAAATAAATATTTTTAAAAGCTTAAATTTAACTTTCCCAGTTGTTGGGTCAATACCTGATGATTATTCATTGAATTCTACATCGCTTTATCCTATGTTCACAAGAGTAATTATTTCAAACCGCTATCTTTATTCGCTGGCTTCGCTTTTATTTAGAGCTTTAGGGTGAAGGAAAATCTGTGTTTTATATTCAGATGATCTAAATGGGAGATCAGGATATTCAGCAATTATAAGCACTGCAGAGCAATATAGCATAGAAATTCTAAATTCTGAAAACTCTAGGGTAATCCCTGAAGATTTAAATAGAACTACTATAAAAAATTACTCTGGAACATTGCAGGAAATCGTTGATACAGATGCAAGGCTTCTAGTTTTCTTTCTTGTGCCACCTCTATTATCTTGTGTCATCGAAGAGCTTTATGATATGGGCTTAAGAACAGGAGATGTCGTTATTTTTGTTATAAAGCAAGAAATGTTTCCAATAATACCAGACGATACTATTGATTTATTAAAGATTAAGGAAACTGGAGTTCCAATGATGGCTATTTCTGGGAAAAGTTGAGTCGGCGAGGTTGGGGAATTTGCTTACTCACAGATAGCATCTAGATATAATAGCATTATATTTGCCCACACTTGCTTTGGCTATGATGCAGCATATTTAATAGGGATAGCTTTGGACTACATGATAAACCAAGGATATGATTATACTGATCCTTACAAAATAAATTCGGCAATCAGATCTCAAAAGTTTACTGGGTGCACAGGAGTAGTTTCTATCGACAAAGGCAGCAATGACAGAGCTATGGACACTTTTGATATAATGGCCACCAAAATAGATACAAATTCTGGAAATATAGTAGCATACAAAATGGGTGAATTTCGCCCATTTGGAGGCACGATGTTGAGCATCAAAACTCCTTTCATTTATGGAGGCGGGACTACTGTAAAGCCAGATGACCTTAGAAACCAAAATAATAAATGCCCTTTTCATGAAAATCTAATAAGGGGATTTGCTAAAGGAAGAATTATCGTTTTTTCTATATGTTTTATGTTTGCTTTAGTGTCTTTCGCTGCCACAGCATATATATGAAAAAAATGATGAAATATAACTATTGAAGAGCTGAAAGAAAAGCAAGAAATGTCGCTGCAAGATATTATTGTTATGATAACCATAGGTATTGAATTTTTCCAATTTGCGGCTATGGGGCCAGATATAGCTCCAATAAATAGTTTCCTTGCAAAAATTAGCAGCTCTCTTTCTCTTAGTTTGGAAAATATTTTTGCTCTACAGAAAGGGATATTTTGAATTCTAATAAATGGCGTCTTTGGAGCTATTTTATTTTGGCTAGTTTTAAGTTTAGTTGTTCTACTCAGTTTAGATGAAAAATATCCCAAAGTGACTATTTTCAGATTTTTAGCTTGGCTTGCAGACTATTTAATGCCTATCTTAGGCAATTTGTGCTTTATACCCTTTGTTTCAATGTGTTTGAATGTATTTATATGCGACCATTCTATTGGAGATAACTTTACTGACAGTTTTCTTGCTGCCGACTGCTATTATTTTTGTTGAAAAGACGAGCACCTAGTATATGCGATATTTCTTTTATTGCCCTCTTATGCTATGAGCCACTAGCTGTTCTGTGCAGACCTTTGTGGCAAGAGTTACAGCACATGGTGCATATACATACAGCTCCTCCGTTTTTAATGGTAAAAACTATGGTTCAAGTCATATTTATAGTTATGAATAAAACAGTAAAAAGGGCAGATAGCACTATCCATGGAGCCCTTTTTTCTGTTCTAATGGTTATGTACGTTGGATTTATATTTAGGTATAAGCCCTATAATTATCCAAGACTGTGCTTGTGGCAAGCTTTGAGCTTAATTGGTGTGGTCTGGCTTTCTGTGATCTCTACAATCTCGTCAAATGTTGAAGGAAACGCGTATGTTTATTTTCCTGTAGTGTGCGTGGGATGAATAATAATTGCTCTTGTCGGAATTTATGTGCAAAGAAGAAAATATCCCAGTCTTCTGTATAGAAAAAACTTGGATACAACTCATTTATTCAAGTTCGCATTTACTTTTGGTAAGCACTCCAAGAATGCTCTTGCAAAAATTGTCCCAGATCGTCGCACATCTGTAGATTTAATGCCAAAGGACTTTTCTTATGCAAAGGAAGTTGATTAATTTAAGACTTTAGAATTTAATATATTAGAGTATTGCTTTTTTTCGTTATTTTTCTTCATTAAGTATTTTATTTCTTCAACTGTCGCTGGCTCCGTGCTGCTATTAAATAAATATTGCAATAAATTTAAGTTGAGTTAAATAGAAAATCCTTTGTCGAGCTTGAATATTCTTGGCCTTTATAGTGACAATAATAGCCCCATCAATATTGCATCCCTAGCTGCTGTTTTGATTTAAATTTAAGCCATCTCCAGCCAGTAACAGTTTTTTCTTGAATTTCTCATGAAATAATAGATATGCAAAATGTAATACATTGAAGTACCTAAAAGCTTGATAATTCGATTAACTAATTTTTCAATATTTGCCGATGACTCTACAGCTAAATAATCAAAGTTGCTGAAATTCTAAAAATTGTTATTTACTGTATATGTCGTCTTGGTCATTAATTAGAAGTCATTGAGTCAAGTTGAAATAATCTAAAACTGTAAAGTATGCATTCATTTGAGCTAAATAAGAAGGGATGATGATGATATAAGTCCATTCGTCATAGTAATAAAACTCATACTTTTTCTAAGGAATCAGGCGGATTTTTTTGTTTTCTCTATTTAGTTGAGATAAACTCAATAATCCTAAAATAGGATCTTGTTCTGACTTTAATAATTTTGAAGCTTGCGAAATTTTGCAAAGAAATCACTTATTTCATCTGGGTAGCAATCCAACTTTCTTTTGAAATCTCCTAAATCTTTCTTTGATTAGGAAGACGCTGGCTAAAGGATCTATAATATTTCTTCTCAACTCGCTACATTTTGTGTTTTCTTTTGTAATGAATTCAAGAATTGCATCTTTTGTCCTGCATAAAAATTGATTCAAGATTATGAGCTCTACTAGGCAAGTTTGCATGCTCCTAAATATGCTCTCCGCACAATAAAGCCTTAGGAAAAGAGAATTTGCATGCATACCCAACCTCATTCATACACCTTGGCTTGAAGAATTTCTTCTTCATCATATAATAATTATTAAATAGCTGATTTTTTGAAGCCATTGCATTCTAAGAATTAAAAATAAATAGAAATAAATTAAAAATAGATTAAAAATAGATTAAATAAGCAATACTCTAATATATTATTTCTAAAGTCTTAAATTAATCAACTTCCTTTCCAATTGAAAAGTCCTTCGGCATTAAATTTACAGATGATGGACGACGATCTGGGACAATTTTTGCAAGAGCATTCTTGGAGTGCTTACCAAAAGTAAATGCGAACTTGAATAAATGAGTTGTATCCAAGTTTTTTCTATACAGAAGACTGGGATATTTTCTTCTTTGCACATAAATTCCGACAAGAGCAATTATTATTCATCCCACGCACACTACAGGAAAATAAACATTCGCGTTTCCTTCAACCTTTGATGAGATTGTTGAGATCACAGAAAGCCAAACCACACCAATTAAGCTCAAAGTTTGCCACCAGCATAGTCTTGGATAATTATAGGGCTTATATCTAAATATAAATAAAATGTACGCGACCATTAGAACAGCAAAAAGGGCTCCATGGATAGTGCTATCAGCCCTTTTAACTGTTTTATTCATAACTATTAATATGATTTGAACCACAGTCTTTACCATTAAAAACGGAGGAGCTGTATGTATATGCACCATGTGCTGTAACTCTTGCCACAAAGGCCTGCACAGAACAGCTAGTGGCTCATAGCATAAGAGGGCAATAAAAGAAAAAATTGCATATATTAAGTGCTCGTCTTTTCAGCAAAAATAATAACAGTCTGCAGCAAGAAAACTGTCAGTAAAGTTATCTCCAATAGAATGGTCGCATATAAATACATTCAAGCACATTGAAACAAAGGGTATAAAGCACAAATTGCCTAAGATAGGCATTAAATAGTCTGCAAGCCAAGCTAAAAATCTGAAAATAGTCACTTTGGGATATTTTTCATCTAAACTGAGTAGAACAACTAAGCATAAAACTAGCCAAAATAAAATAGCCCCAAAGACTCCATCTATTAGAATTCAAAATATCCCTTTCTGGAGAGCAAAGATATTTTCCAGACTGAAAGAAAGAGAGCTACTAATTTTTGCTAGGATGCTATTTATTGGGGTTATATCTGGTCCCATAGCCGCAAATTGGAAAAATTCAATACCTATAGTTATCATGACAATAATATCTTGCAGTGAAATTTCTTGCTTTACTTTAAGCTCTTCAATGGTTATATTTCATCAGTTTTTTCATATGTAAGCTGTGACAGCGAAAGACACTAAAGCAAACATAAAGCATATAGAAAAAACGATAATTCTTCCTTTAGCAAATGTCCTTATTAGATTGTCATGAAAAGGGCATTTATTAATTTGGTTTCTAAGATCATCTGGCTTTACAGTAGTCCCGTCTCCATAAATTAGAGGAGTTTTGATACTCAACATTGTGCTGCCAAATGGACGAAATTCTCCCATTTTGTATGTTATTACACTTCCAGAATTTGTATCTATTTTGCAGGCCATTATATCAAAAGCATCCATAACTCTGTCATTGCTACCTTTGTCAATGAAAACTACTCCTGTGCACCCAGTAAACTTTTGAGCTCTGATTGTTAAATTTAATTGGTAAGGATCAGTATAATCATATCCTTGGTTTATCATGTAGTCCAAAGCTATCCCTATTAAATATGCCGCATCATAACTAGAGCAAGTGGTGGGAAATGAGTGACCATTATATCTAGATGATATCTGCGAATAAGCAAATTCCCCAACCTTACCTACTCAATTTCGTCCACTAATAGATATCATTGGAACTCCAATTTCCTGAATCTTTAATTTATCAACATCATCGTATAGTCTCGTTGGAAATACTCCTTCCTTTGTAACAAAAATAAGGAGATCTCCTTTTCTTAAGCCCATATCATAGAGCTCTTCGATGATATAATATAATGGAGGTGGCATAAAAAATAAAACTAGGAGTCTTGCATCTGTATCAACGATTTTCTTCAATGTTCCAGAGTAATTTTTTATACTAGTTCTATTTAGATCTGCAGGGATCGCCCTTGAGTTTTCAGAATTTAGAATTTCTATGTTATATTGCTCTGTAGTACTTATAAGTGCTAAATATTCTGATTTCCCAGATATATCATCTGAATATAAAACACAAATTTTTCTTCATCCTAAAGCTCTAAATAAAAGCAAACTCAGCGATAAAAGATAGCGGTTTGAAACAATCACCCTTGTAAACAGAGGATAAAGTGATGTAGAATTCAATGAATAATCATCAGATTCTGAGCCAACAACTGGGATGGTTAAATTAAAGCTTTTAAAAAAATCAATTTCTGCAATAGTCGTTAAAGAGCTAGGCGCTGGTATGTGTGCAAGTCCAAATTTATCTATATCTTTGGCAAAGCAAGCTGGTGTCAATTCTTTATCATAAGTAACCGCGCCACAATCAAAAATAAAATAATTTATTTGAAAATGTGCTAAAATTCCAAGTGCACCTTCATTAATTAAACTTCATGCTGTATAAGCGCCATAATATAAAAAAGGAGCTACTGTAAGAGGAGGAGCTCCAGGGTTGTAAGAGCCTCCAGAAACTGTCATATGCAAAATCTTTTTATCTGACTTGGGCACATCAGTTGTATTCCCAGGGAAAATCAAGGCTTTCAAGATTGTTACTGATCCAGCAGAAACTGATCCAACTATTTTTCTTTGATTGTCTTGAATATTTACAATAGAAAATTGTTTTTTCTGACTATATATCTTCAGCAAATCTTTTAGTTCTTCTGTTGTTTCTACTGTTTGATTTAATAAATACAGAATTAAATTTTCTAAAGAACTAATCAAAAGTTGTTCTTGAGAGCTAGCATGTTCTTGTCCTGCAACAGTTACAATGATTGCTCCATTGATTTTGCAGTCATAGCAGCTATTTTGGGTTAGCAATATCCCATCTCCTCTCGAAAGGAGTTTTTTGGATTTCAACGTCTCCTGAATATTTGACGAGAGGACAGAATTTGCAAAAATGTAATACAATGTTGCTCCTAAAGGCTTGATAACTCTGTTTACTACCTTTTCAAGGCTTGCCGAAGATTCTATAATTATATAATCAAAAGTTTGTGAATAGTCTAGAAATTTCTGCTTGATGTATGCATGATCTCCATCAGTGATTGCAAGTCCATGAGTTCAATTAAAGTAAGCTAAAACTGCAAAATATGCATCTGTTTGGGCTAAGTTTGATGAAACGATACTATATGTCCATTCGTCGTAAAGAAATTCTTGATTTTTCTGAGGAACCAAATGAATTTTATTATTTTCTTTGCATAATTCAGAAAGGCTCAGTTGCTTTTGAAAGCTGTTCGATAAATCAAGAATTATTATGGCATTTGGATGCGAGTTTACACACTCTGAAATTAAAGAATAATCGCATTGATGCCATTCGATGACTGATTCAAATTGATATTTTATTTCTTCAATCCAAATTTTATTTAGCTCATTCCTATCATTTTGAGCAATAATAATTTCGAATGAAAAACACAAATTGAGCATTTTTAAAAAAGATAGTATTTTTATAAGTCCGATATCAGAAAAATTAGCCTTTTTGTTCATTTTTTTAAACTAAGTAAATCCTCTATTATTTTTCCAATATGAGAATTTCGACTAAATAATTTATTAATTAAGAACTATTCGCGCCTAATGAGAACCAATAAGAGCAAATAAGATATATTACGTTGCGATAGTACCATTGCATAGACTTTATAGGAGATATATCTCGCAGAATATGATGTATTAAGATTCAACTAATATTATAGATTTAAACATTAAGATAGGCTATTTACTCAAATTCAAAAAAATAAGAAAAGTATATATCTTATAAAAGTAAAATTTTTTGAATGGCATAAATATCATGTCTCTACAAAATCCAAAGCAAAAGCATAAATAATTAAAATTTATTTATTTATATTTTTTCCTTAGACAAATAAGTTTTTAGTATCAATACTGAAAGATATGTTAGAACTTCTTAATATGATTTCTTCTAAAGCGGAAAATTAAAATTTATCAATAAAATAGTTATTTAAATGATATTTGAAACACTATATATTCCTGTATTATTCATTGCTGCATAAGTCTTCTTAGGTATAAAAATGTTATTAAACTTTCAGATTTTTGTAAATGAATAAAAAATCTAATTTTTATTATAGAAAATTGATTTTTTTTATTATATGTCTTCTTCATTAATTATCTTATTTCTCCAACAGTTGCAGGCTCAGTCGTGCTATTGAATAAATATTGCAATAAATTTTCAGTTGAGCTAAACAAAAATCCCTCTTGTGAGCTAGTATATCCATGGCCTTCTATAGTAATTATCAATATTGCATCCAAAGCCGCTGTTTTGATTAAACTTTCTCCAGCCAGCAACAGCTTTTGGGATTTCAAAAGTGTCTTGAATTTCTGACAAAATAATAATATTTGCAAAATGTAATACATTGAAGTACCTAAAGGCTTGATAATTCGATTAATTAACTTTAAATGTTTGTCGATGACTCTATAGCTAAATAATCAAAAGTTGCTGAAAATTCTAACTCCCCTCCGTAAGCAAACAAAAATATTTTGTTCACTAATTTTTTTTTCATTCGAAATTTAAAGCATCTCAATTCACAAAATTGGATAGTAATATGTAAAATTTATGTTGTAAATGCAATTTTGTTAGAATTAAATAGAATTAGCTAGAGATTTCATTTTATTATTCTTATCATTTTATAAAAATTTTTCAATAAAAAAATTTTTTTGTTCACTCACGGAGGGTAGGCTTTTGGGCAAAAAATAGGGATTTTTTCTAATGGTTTTGTTTGCTCACGGTAGGGGGAGTAAAATTCTTTTTTACTGTATATTCAGTCTTCGTCAGTAATTACAATCCTTGAGTCCAGTTGAAATGGTCTAAAACTGCAAAGTATGTATTTATTTGAGCTGAATCAGAAGGGATGATGCTATAATTCCATTCGTCATAGCAATAAAACTCATACCTTTTTTGAAGAACCAAGTGGACTTTTTTGTTTTCTTCACATTATCGAGATAGACTCAGTTGTATTTCAAAATTGTCTGATAAATCAAGGACGATTAAAGTATCAAGATAAATACTGAGGACTCTGAAATTTCTGTTTAATCGCAATATTTCCAATCTATATCTGACTCAAATTGCTCTTTTCCAGTTTTGGCTGCCTTTATTTTTATCACTTTTGACAATAAGAATATCAACAAAGAAAGACAAATTTAGCATAGATAACAAATATAACATCTTAGCAAATCTCACACAAATAAAATGGTGATAATACCAAGCCTTCCACTCCTGGACCGGCTTGGCATTTGGGGATCTTTGCGATGATTTAAGCTAAACAGAGCAGGAAATTTCTCTATGAATGCTAACTCCCCACCCCCCCTTCCTTAAGTGAGCAAAACCATTGGAAAAATCCCTATTTTTTTGCCCAAAAGCCCACCCTCCGCTAGTAAAAAAAAGTTTTTTATAGAAAAATTTTGATATATAAGTGATAATTAGTATAATGAAATCTTGAGCTAATTTGTTTAATTTTAAACAAATTGCTGTTTAAAACATAAATTTTATAAATTAAATTAATATTTGCTTCCCAATTTTTGCAGGATTTTCTAAAAATTTCAAAATTTCGAAAAAAAAAATTTATATAAAAATTTATATATAATTTTTTTAAAAAAAAATTAACCCCCCTCCGTGAGTGAACAAAATTTTTTTGTTCGCTCACAGAGGGGGAGCTAGTAGATAGGCATGATTCCTCGTGGCAAAAGCATATTGAGCTATTCAAAACATGCTCTTTATAACACTAGTTATGATAGCTTTCACATAAATCAAGAACTTAAAGCTAAATTCTAATAAATTTTATTATTTAATAATCTTGCTTCAAAATAGAAAAATCTTTGCACGAAAGTTCTTCAGAAGTACGACGAGGGGCGATTTTTGAAAGGGCATTTTTCGAGTGCTTACCAAATGTAAATGCGAATCTAAATAGATGATTTGTATCCAGACCTTTTTTCTATACAGCAGACTTGGATATTTTTTTCTTTGTACATAGATACCGATAGCACCAATTAAAACTCATCCTACACAGAGAAACAGAAAATAAATTAAATTAAATAGCCTCCTTCAACGTTAGATGAGATTGTTGAAAGCACAGAAAGTCATAATACACCTATTAAGCTTAATGCTTGCCATCAACAAAATCTTGGATAATTATAAGGCTTCCATCTAAATATAAATCCAATGTAGGAAGCCATTACAACACCAAATAAAGCTTCGCGTACTGTACTTTCAGCTCTTTTGACTGTTTTATTCATGACTATAAGTATGATTTGGACCTTTATTTTTACCATTAAAAATAAAGGAGACGTGTGTATGTGTAGAGTATGCTGCAATTCTTGCCACAAAGGCCTACAAAATATTGCAAGAGGCTCATAGCATAAAAGAGCTATAAAAGAAAAAATCGCATATATTAAATGATCACCTTTCCAGCAAAAGTAATAGCAATCTCTCCAATAGATTGATCGCACACAAACACATCGAAATAAATGGAATAAAGCATAAATTACCTAAAATCGGCATTAAATAGTCAGCAAGTCAAGCTAAAATTCTGAAAAATGACACTCTAGGAAATTTTTCGTCTAATCTGAGCAGAATAGTTGCACACAAAATTAATCATAAAATAATAGCTCCAAAAATCCCATCAATTACAATTCAAAATACTCCATTTTTAAGCTTATAAAAGTTTTCTATGTTGAGGGAAAAAGAATTGCTGATTTTTGCTAAGAAGTACTGATTGGAGTTATGTCTGGCCCCATCGCTACAAACTGGAAAAATTCAATACCTATTGTTATCTGAACAATAAAATTTTGCAACGAAATTTCTTGCCTTTCTTTAAGCTCTTCTATTTCGATATTTCACCACGTTTTTCATATATATGCGGTAGAAATAAAAGAGACTAAAGCAAATCCGAAGCAAATGCCAAAAGTGAGAATTCTTCCTTTTGTAAACGTCCTTACTAGCTTATTAGAAAAAGGGCATTCATTATCTTGATTTCTTAGATCATCCGGCTTTATAGAGGACCCATCTCCATAAATAATTGGTGAATCAATAGTTAGCATTATGCTGCTATATGGGTGAAATTCTCCTAATTTATAAGCAGTCACATTTCCAGAAGCTGCATCTATTTTATTAACACTAATATCAAAATTTTCCAAAATCCTGTCATTGCTGTCTTTATCAATCGAAAACTTTCCTGTGCATCCGATAAATTTCCGAGCTCTCATTGTCAAATTTAGCTGATAAGGATCATAATAATCAAACCCATGATTTATCATAGAATCCAATTCAAGTGCTATATAATAAGCTGCATCATAGTAATTGCAAGCATATGAATAAGGGACTGCATTATAAAGAGATGCTATTTTTGAGTACGCAAAGTTTCCAACTTCTCCAACCCAGTTTTGTCCAGAAATAGAGATCATCGGAACTCCTGTTTCTTTAAATTTATAAGTATACATAAAATCGTATTCTGTCATTGTAAGAAGTACTGAATTTTTAACAAAAACTACGAGATCGCCTTTTCTTAGGCCTAAATCATACAGCTCTTCAAGAATGTAATATAATTCAGGAGGCATACATATTAAAATCAAAAGCCTTGCTTGTGTATCTAAGATTGCTTGAAATGAGCTAGCATAATTCTTGATAGTGGTTCTATTTAGATTATCAGGGATCTCACTTAAGCTTTCAGGGTTTAAAACTTCTAAGCCATATTTCGTGTAAGTTTCTATAAGTGTGGAATATGTTGCCTTGCTTGATAAGTCATCAGAATATAAGACACAGAGTTTACTTCAGCCGAGAACTTTTAAGAAAAGCGAACTCAAAGCAAGTATGTAGTCGTTCGGAACGACGATTCTTGTGAACATAGGATAAAGTGCGGTTGAGCTCAGTGCACGGCCTACTGCTGCTGCCCCAACGACTGGAATTGTTACATTTAAGCTCTCAAAGAGCTTCATTTCTCCAGTTGCTATTACAGTACCCATTGATATATGCGCTAATCCAATTTTATCTATATCTTTGGTAAAGCAAGGTCTCGCAAACTTTTCATCATAATTCAATGTGCCGCAGTCAGAAATGAAGTATTTAATTTGAAAATTTTTTAAAATCCCTAATGTGCCGTCATTTATCAAGCTCCATGCTGTATATGCCCCGTTGCAAAAAAGGGGTAGAGATGTCATTGGAGCAGTGCCAGGATTAGTAGAGCCTCCAGAGATTGATACTTGTAATATTTTTTGGTCTGATTTTGGCACATTAGGAGTGTTTCCAGGGAAAATTAAATTTTTTACTATTATTACTTCTCCATCAAAGACTGAGCCGATGATTTCTCTTTTGCCCTCCTGAACATTAATGATAGAAAATTGGCTTTCCTGGCCATATACCATCATTAAATATCTTGCTTCTTCAACTGTCGCTGGCTCTGTCGTGCTATTAAATAAATATTGCAATAAATTTTGAATTGATTTAAATAAAAATTCCTCTGCCGAGTTTGCATATTCTTGGCCTTTTATAGTGATTATAATTGCTCCATCGATTATACAATCGTAACCACTGTTTTGATTTAAAATTAATCCATCTCCTTCCAGTAGAAGTTTTTTAGATTTCAAAGCTTCTTGAATTGTCGACGAGAGAACAGAATTTGTAAAAATGTAATACAAAGTAGTGCCTAAAGGCTTGATAATCCGATTTACTAAACTTTCAATGTTTGTTGATGACTCTACAGCTAAATAATTAAAAGTTGCTGAATATTCTAAAAAATTCTTTTTTGCTGTATATGTTATCTTCGTCAGAAATTACAAGTCCTTGAGTCCAGTTAAAGCAATCTAAAACTGCAAAGTATGCATTCATTTGAGCTGAATGAGAAGAGACGATGGTATACGTCCATTCGTCATAGTAATAAAGACTCATAACTTTTTCTGAGGAACCAAGTGGATTTTCTTGTTTTCTTCACAAAGTTGAGATAAGGCTCAGTTGTATTTCAAAATCGTCTGATAAATCAAGAACGATTAAAGTATCAGGATAAATATCGAGGCACTCTGAAATTGCTGTATAGTTGCAATAGTGTCAGTCAACAACCGCCTCAAATTGTCTTCTTGCTTCATTAATTCAGTTTTGGCTGCCTTTATTTTTATCACTTTGGACAATAAGAATATCAGCTAGAAGACAGACTAAATTTAGCATAGATAAAAGAAATAATATCTTTACAAACCCTATGCCAGAAATGCCTTGCTTCTTTTTTTGCTGATTTTTGATTCATTTTTGTATTAGAGTTTTAATTCATTTACTGAAATCTGAACGTTTAAAACGTTTTATATATATAAGAAGACTTATGCAGGCAGCGAATAATATAGAAATATATAGTGTTTGAAATATCTTTATGGATTAAATATCTGTTTGGTACATAAATTTCATTTACCATTTTAGGAGAAATCGTATTAAGAAGTTCTGACATATTTTTCAATATTGATATGTCAAAAAATTTCTGGTTCTAAAACTTATTTGTCTGACTCCCCCTTTTGGTTAGAAGCAAAATATAGGTAAAATTTCAACTTTTGGCTATTTAATCCCAATAAAAGTTGTTTTTTAATTTGAAAATTGGATTGGTAAAAATACTTATTTTATATTAATAGTTTAGTTTAATTGAGTAGAATTTCATTCAAAGAACTGGACGCTAAATCAAATTAATGTTTTTAATTAATTCGATGCAAAAATGAATTAAAATTCAAAAATTACATCATATAATATTTTTTAATTTTATATTGATTTTTACTATTTTTTTTATTAAAAAATTATTAACCACTTTAAATTGGAACAGGATTTTGGTTCAAATTCATAGGGGACTTAGCTAAAAATATATAAATAAATTTCTTTTATTTAATTATGTTTTATTTTAGATTTGTATGCTATAAATTTACATAATATTTATATTATCCAAAAAAATTTAACTTTTATTAAATATATACTTGCTTATTTTTGGAATTTGAGTAAATAGCCTATCTTAATGTCTTAAATCTATAAGATTAGTTGAATCTTAATTTAGCAAACCTAACATCATATTCTGCGAGATATAAGTTCTTAAAAAGTCTATACCATGGCACTATCACATTATAATAATATCTTATTCACTCTTATTGGTTCTCATCAAGCGCTGATAGTTCTCAATTGATAACTCCTACCAAATTCTCATATTGAACAAATAATTAAGTCCCCCTCCTCCGTGACTGAACAAAACCATTAGAAAAATCCCTATTTTTTCATAAAATTCCTATTTTAATTTCTAAATTATTATAAGCATTTCTTCTTTAATTTTTGTGATCTAATCCGATATACGGAAAATAAAGATATTAAAATAGTAAGTTTAAATTTTCGTTATTAATCAAAGATTTGATTTGGAAATAATTCTCCCTTTAAATTTTAATTTTTTAAAAAAATTATTAAGGTTTGTAGGCGATCTATCGCAATTGATGCTCTATATTAATCGAAAGCATAATCTGGATAACGGAGAAGTTTATAATGGCATTGCAAATTCCTTTGCTGATAATAAATTTATCAAATTTCTTGAAGATACCAAAGTCTGCATTAATTGGTCTTATTTTCATCAGATACTATTGAAAAAATCATCCTCCAAAAAAAAATTCATGAAAAATATTTTGATATATAAATGATATTTATGATAATGAAATCTCTAGCTAATTCTGTAAATTTTTAACAGCTGTATTTAAAATATAAATTTTATAAATTAAAGTGGTGAAACAAAAAATTTCGAAAAAAAATTAGTCCACTCCATAAATATAATCGAACAAAAATGTTTTTGTCGCTTGGAGGGCAGATATTATTTAACTTGACTGATTAATAGAAGTATCTCCTTAGCTTTGGGCTGCTCACTCGAAGGAAGTAAGTAAACTCAGCAAAAGCAAATATATTTCAATTAAATTTCTTGACTAACCCTTTATTTTCAAGTTTTTTATGATAAATAAAATTACAAAATATCAAATAAGCAATATTCTAATATATTAAATTTCTAAAGACTTAAATTAATCAACTTCCTTTGCAATTGAAAAGTCTTTCGGCATTAAATCTACAGATGATGGACGACGATCTGGGACAATTTTTGCAAGAGCATTCTTGGAGTGCTTACCAAAAGTAAATGCGAACTTGAATAAATGAGTTGTATCCAAGCCTTTTTTTCTATACAGAAGACTGGGATACTTTCTTCCTTGCACATAAATTCCGATAAGAGCAATTATAATTCATCCCACGCACACTATGGAAAAATAAATATACGCGTTTCCTTCAAAATTTGACGAGATTGTCGAGATTACAGAAAGCCAAACCACACCAATTAAGCTCAAAGCTTGCCACCAGCACAGTCTTGGATAATTATAGGGCTTATACCTAAATATAAATCCAATGTACGCGACCATTAGAACAGCAAAAAGGGCTCCATGGATAGTGCTGATCAGCCCTTTTGACTGTTTTATTCATGACTATAAATATGACTTGAAACACAGTTTTTACCATTAAAAACGGAGGAGCTGTATGTATATGCACCATGTGCTGCAATTCTTGCCACAAAGGCCTGCACAGAACAGCCAGTGGTTCATAGCATAAGAGGGCAATAAAAGAAAAAATGGCATATATTAGGTGCTCGTCTTTCCAGCAAAAATAATAACAGTCAGCAGCAAGAAAACTGTCAGTAAAGCCATCTCCAATAGAATGGTCGCACATAAATACATTCAAGCACATCGAAACAAAGGGGATAAAGCACAAATTGCCTAAAATAGGCATTAAATAGTCTGCAAGCCAAGCTAAAAATCTGAAAATTGTCACTCTGGGAAATCTTTCATCTAAACTGAGTAGAACAACTAAGCATAAAACGAGCCAAAATAAAATAGCCCCAAAGACTCCATCTATTAGAATTCAAAATATCCCTTTCTGGAGTGCAAAAATATTTTCCAGATTGAGAGAAAGAGAGCTGCTAATTTTTGCTAGGATGCTATTTATTGGGGCTATATCTGGTCCCATGGCCGCAAATTGGAAAAATTCAATACCTATGGTTATCTCAACAATAATATCTTGCAGAGAAATTTCTTGCTTTACTTTAAGTTCTTCAATGGTTATATTTCATCAGTTTTTTCATATATATGCTGTTGCTAGCGAAAGACACTAAAGCAAACAAAAAGCAGATAGAAAAAACGAGAATTCTTCCTTTAGCAAATGTTCTTACTAAGCTTATCAGGAGAAAGGGCATTTATTATTTTGGTTTCTAAGGTCATCTGGCTTTACAGTAGTTCCATCTCCATAAATGAGAGGTGTTCTAATACTCAGCATTGTACTACCAAATGGGCGAAATTCACCCATTTTGTATGCTGTTCACATTTCCAGAATTTGTATCTATTTTGCTGGCCATTATATCAAAAATGTCCATAACTCTGTCATTGCTGCTTTTGTCGATAGAAACTACTCCTGTGCACCCAGTAAACTTTTGAGCTCTAATTGCTGAATTTATTTGGTAAGGATCAGTATAATCAAATCCTTGGTTTATCATGTAGTCTAAAGCTATCCCTATTAAATATGCCGCATCATAGCTCGAGCAAGTTGAGGCAAATAGGGACTCCATTATATCTAGATGATATCTGTGAGTAAGCAAATTCCCCAACCTTACCTACTCAATTTCGCCCACTAACAGCCATCATTGGAACTCCAGTTTCTTTAATTTTATACTCTATATAAAATCGTATTGGATCATTGTAAGTATTTCTTGGTTTGTAACAAAAATAAAGAGATCTCCTTTTCTTAAGCCCATATCATAAAGCTCTTCGATTACATAATATATTAGAGGTGGCAAAAAAAATAAAACTAGAAGCCTTGCATCTGTATCAACGATTTTCTGCAATGATCCAGAGTAATTTTTTATATTAGTTCTATTTAGAGTCTGCAGGGATAGCCCTTGAGTTTTCAGAATTTAGAATTTCTATGTTATATTGTTCTGCATTGCTTATAAGTGCTGAATATCCTGATTTCCCAGTTACATCATCTGAATATAAAACACAGATTTTCCTTCATCCTAAAGCTCTAAATAAAAGCGAAGTCAGCGAATAAAGATAGCGGTTTGAAATAATTACCCTTGTAAACAAAGGATAAAGCGACGTAGAATTCAATGAATAATCATCAGGATTGACCCAACAACTGGGATTGTTAAATTTAAGCTTTTAAAAAGATTTATTTCTGCAATAGTCATTAAAGAGCTAGGTCGCTGATATGTGTGCAAGTCCAAATTTATCTATATCTTTGGTAAAGCAGGCTGTTGCATATTCTTTATCATAAGTAATCACGCCGCAATCAAAAATAAAATAATTTATTTGAAAATGTGTTAAAATTCCAAGCACACCTTCATTAATTAAACTTCATGCTGTATAAGCGCCATAATATAAAAGAGGAGCGGCTCAAAGAAGCGAGTTCCAGGGTTGTAAGAGCCTCCAGAAACTGTCATATGCAAAATCTTTTTATCTGACTTGGGCACATCAGTAGTATTTCCAGGGAAAATCAAGGTTTTCGAGATTGCTACTGATCCAGCAGAGACTGATCCAACTATTTGCCTTTGATTGTCCTGAATATTTACAATAGAGAATTGATTTTTCTCACTGTATATCTCCAGCAAATGTCTTTAGTTCTTCTGTTGTTTCTGCTGTGTGATTCAATAAATACAGAATTAAATTTTCAAAAGAGCTAATTAAAAATTGCTCTTGAGAGCTAGCATATTCTTGCCCTGCATGCAGCCACAATGATTGCTCCATTGGTTTTGCAGCCATAGCAGCTATCTTGGGTTAGCAATATCCCATCTCCCCTTGAAAGGAGCTTTCTGGATTTCAATGTCTCCTGAATTTTTGATGAGAGAACAGAATTTGCAAAAATGTAATACAATGTTGCTCCTAAAGGCTTGATAACTCTGTTTACTACCTTTTCAAGGCTTGCCGATGATTCTATAGTTATATAGTCAAAAGTCTCTGAATAGTCTAGAAATTTCTGCTTGATGTATGCATGATCTCCATCAGTGATTACAAGTCCATGAGTCTCAATTAAAGTAAGCTAAAACTGCAAAATATGCATCGGTTTGGGCTAACTTTGATGGAAAGATGCTATATGTCCATTCGTCGTAATAAAGGGATTCATGAGTTTTCTGAGGAACCAAATGAATTTTATTATTTTCTTTGCATAATTGAGAAAGGCTTAGTTGTGTCTTCAAACTTTTCTGATAAATCAAGAACGATTATGGCATTTGGATGTGAGTTAACACACTCTGAAATTAAAGAATAATCGCATTGATACCATTCGATGACTGGCTCAAACTGTTTTTTTATGTCTTCAATCCAAACTTGATTGAGCTCATTCCTATCATTTTGAGCAATAATAATTTCAAATGAAGAACAAAAATCTGAGCATTGCTAAAAAAGATAGTATCTTTATAAATCTGATTTCAGAAAAATTCTTGTTTTTGTTCATTTTTTAACTAAGCTAATTTTCTTAAATATGATAAACCGGTTTATTGTTTTTTATAAAAATTGGATTGGATTAAATTAATTATTGGCGTACTATTTCAAACGCCTTATACTTTTAACGAGTCTTCAAAAATTTAAATCATGAATAGATATGTTTTCTTTTTTGAGGTCATCTTCAATATTTTGGATTTCAAAGAAATGCTTGTGTTTGCTGTTTTCTCTGCTAGTTCGCAATTTATCATCAATACTTCTTAGTGTGATCTTTGTTAAAAAGTCAATCTTTTCTCATTTTTCTTCACCTAATTCTTCTAAAAATTTTAATTCTGTAACATCTGAAATAAGTCAATTGTATATGCTTGTATTGTTAATATATCTGCCTATCATATCTTGTAATCTTTGTATAAATTTGATTCTTTCGTTTTTATATTTTATGCATTCGTTAAGAATATGTTTATCTGTTTCCTTGACTTTACATAATTCACATAAATTCGAAGTGTTATCTTGATTATTTCTGTTTCTCAATAGAACTAATACTTTAGATGGACCAGCACCATATCTTCAAGCAGCCTTTATTCTTGTTTCAGTAATTAGGTTTTTATTCAGTATTCAGAATTTTGGGAGTTTATTCGTGGTAAAAGTTTGATTCCTTAATTCTTTAAACATCTTTAATGTTACTTTTTTATTTATTATGCTCATGTTTTCGTTTCTTCAATAGATTTTGAGTTTATCTTTGACATTTCCTTTTCAATTTTTGTCATTTCAGCTAATCATGTTGTTATTAAAATCGAATGGTTTTGTAAAATTATATTTTTGAAGCAACTCTTGGTAGATTTTCATTGTCGGTGTAATTGTATTATCGAAATTTCTTAGGAAATGGGTTGCAATCTCAGATATATGTGTTAATTCAAAAATTTTTTGTAAAAATATCAATGATTTTTGGTCAATATATTGTTGTATTGTTGGAATATTTAAATCAAGTAATATGGGTTCAATAGGTGTTTTGTCATAAACATGGCAACATTCTCTTATAATCTTATTGAATGATCTTTGAATTTGTTTAATTGCAGTTTTGCATTTAATTCTTGAGCATATTTCAAGACCATATGTGCATCTTGGTAAGAATATTGCTTTGAAGCAGTTTATAAGAGTTTTACTTGGGATGTTAAGCATTCTTCTAATCATAGGGATTAGAGAGCAAGTAGATATTTTGCTTTTATCTTTGAGGTATTTATAATGCGCTTGGTCGAATCCTGTACCTCTTATATTTCCATTCATTATTTTGCCTAAATATTTATATTTTTCAACAACTGGTATTTCATGATTTTGGTATGATATTTTAGGTAGTTTACTTATAATATTTTTCCTATTTTTTGTTATGATTGGCATTATTGCTGTTTTTTCCGGTCCTATATTCAAGTTCATATCATTATCTTTTGATCATTTATCAAGTTTATTTAAAATGTTTTCAATGTCTTTTCAATCTTCTATTACAAAAGCTGTATCATCCGCATATTGAAAATTGATTTTTGATTTTAATTGGTGATTGGGGAGGAGTTCTATATTGATGTCATTATTTTCCTTTTCTATATCATCTATATATATATTAAATAACAATGGTGATATTGCACTTCCTTGTCTCACACCTCTTGTTATGTTTATTTTTTCTGTTTCAATCCCATTTATGACAAGTGTAGTTTGTTCACCTTTTAGCATTTGTGAGATTATTTTTCAGCTATCATTTTTTATATTTTTTGCTTTAATTTTCTCTAATAGTCTAATTCTATTAACTGAGTCATAAGCTTTTGAGAAATCAACAAATAATATATATGAGTCTCTACCTTTTCCAATCCTGTAATACTTACGATATTCCAGTGTAGATTTTAAGAGAAAAATCTGAGTCATGCATGACTTTCCTTTTGTGAATCCATGTTGTCTTTCTGAGATATTAACCGTATTTTCAATTCTTTTTAGTTCTGCTTTGTCAAGAATCTTCATAAAATTATTCATTAAGGTTATGGGTCTATAGCTATTAAGTTCCTTCGGATTACCTTTTCCTTTGTATATAAGGATTGTTTTTGCTTCATTGGCTTTGTCTGGGATTCCATTTAATTTGCAACTATTAAGGAAATGTGTAATTGCTTCTGCCATTATATCTCCACCTTTCTTTATTATCTCATTTCTTATATTGTCTGGTCCAGGAGCTTTTTTGTTTGGTAATTTTTTAATGATTTTCTGGATATCTTGGAAATCTCATAGTTCTTCTTTTGAGCATCCCTTTTGTGGTATGAATTCTATTTTACTTTTAAATTGATTTTCAAATTCTGTTGCTCAAGCTTTAATCTCTTCTTTGTTTAATGATAATGCGATTCTATTTTTATTCATCTGACGTTTTATTTTGTTTCAGGCTCCATATGGATCTTGCATACATTCTTTCAATCTGCTTTCACTGATTTTTTCATAGTTAGATAGTCTTTTTAGTTTATTTATTCATGCCTTTTTTACCTTTTGTAGTTTGTTAGCAAGTTCTCTATTATTTTGCGTTCAGCAAAATTTTATTCATTTCCTCGAGTCATTTATTCTATTTAATAAGATTTTCATTTCTGGGGTTCTAAAATGGTCTGGTTTTAAATGTTTTAGTAGGTATTTTGATTCTTCATCAATTGTTGATTTGATGTTATTAAATATTGCTAAAGGATCAAGAGTTTTGTAGATTCCTTTATTCTGGAAATTGATTCAGATTCTGTGTTGGAACGCTTCTAATTCCTTGCCTTCTAATTTATATCATGGAATCACGGATATTTGCTTTGGTATTATCTGGACACTTTTTATATGAGATAGTAATAATACGTGATTGGTGTTTAATTGTGGGACTTCTATGTATTTAATCTTTGATAGGGTTTCTGAAATAATATAATCGATAATAGTGTGTCTATTATTTCCTCTGAAAGTTGATATAGAAGTTTCATTTAATATATGTAAACCATTGTCTCTAACAAATTTTGATAAATATTTTTCCAGCTAAATCATTTATATCTGATAAGTAACCTTCTATGTGTGCATTGAAGTCTCCAAGTAATATACATTGATTAGCATCATTTTTGTTTGCTTGAATTATTTCTTGAACATTCATGATGCAGTTCATATATTCGTTAATTGATTTTTCATTTTCGTGGTTTGCAAGTACTGGTGCATATATGCATATTATCAAAAAAATCTTCTATCTTTGCTGCAGTTATTCTATGGTTATTAGTTTCAATTCAAGTTATTTCATTTGCCAGTGAATTATGAATTAATAAGCCAGTTCCACCTGATCCTCTGTAGCCTACTATAGGTCCATTATTACCTATTCACACAAAACCATCAATATAAACTTTATCTTTTAATCAAGTTTCTGCTATTCCTAAGATAGTAATATCGTTTTCGATCATAACATTTCTTAATTGTCTTCGTGATAGATCGTCTTTTCCAATTCCTGAAATGTTGATGAATCCAAAATTTTTTCTTATTATTTTTTCGCACAATCTTCTTGGATTTGGAATTATAATTTCCTCTTCAACTTGAACGGGTAGGACATTATTTTTTCTTAAGGGAGAATGGGTTATTTTCAATCATTTTTTTGGATCTGTGAGATTATCAGATGCTTCAATAAAGAGAATTGTGCATAGAGGTCTAATCATATCTTGGAACATTCTGCTCTCTAGTATTTGTATCTTTTTATTTTTGTAAATTTCTTTTTCATCTTTATTGATGAAAGGATTTTCAAACTTTTTCTTATTTTGGGTGTTATAAATTGAAATCAAGGGTTCAACTATCAGTTTTTCTTTCTTTTCTTTTTTATGTAAGAATGGGTTTTCGATTTTAGAAACGTTTATTTCAGGAAAATCTGTCATCAAAGTGGATGAATTTATTTCTGATGATGGAGAAAGTTTTGGAGATTTGGAAGCAGTTTCATTATAGGATTGCGAGGATTCCTTAATAAGCTTTCAATTTACATCTTCTCTTTCTGGTTCATTTTTCCTTATTGCTGGAGTCTTTTTAATTATAAAAATTTTTTTGATTGTATTTTTGTGATTTTCTTTTAGAATAGTTCTTCCTATGATTTCTATCGGCTTTATGATGCTCTTCTTTAGAGGAATATATGTCTTGATATCATAGTTGTAGGCATTAACTGGTTCATTATTCTGAGTTTTAACAGGAGGATGAATGTTTTTTTTGGGTGGCTTAATTGTTGAGATCTTGCGTGTTTTTAAGTTGTTTTCATATTTATTATCAGAGACTGAGTATTTTTGATCGATTAAATTTAAATTTCTTGAATCTTTCTTGACTTTCTTAGATTGCTTAATTCTTTTTCTTTTTTCTCTGATTTCAATAATTTTATCGTGGTTTGATTCAAGGTGTCCGATTTCGTTACAAGTGTTGCATTGCATTGTTCCTGCGTGATTTAATCATACTGAGTTATTTCCTATTTTCAATATATCTGTGAGATCTAATGCTTGCTCTAGTGAATTAAATTCAGCATATATTGTGTATTTTGCTTCTGGTATAAAATTAAGACTGTGAAACTTGCCTTCATTTTGTATTGTGTTATTCATAATTATTTCTTTTATATCGCAGATTTGCTTTAATGATTTAATTGTTTCCTCAATCGATATTCCAGGAGGTAATGTAAAATTAATCCGATACCTATTGTAGTTGATTTCACCACCTAGTCATAAGATTCCGATTGGTATCATGATGTCTCTTCCTTTGTATTTTAATTCATATGTGATTTGATTCAGTAAATCTTGTTGTATTGATTTTTCTTTAGGAATCAGGATA